CTTACACTATTGACACATATATGAAGATACATGAAGGGATTATACATCCTTTACCTGACAAACAATGGTGGGAGCCATATATTGGAATACTATTAGAGCCTCCTCCTCCTATAAGATTACCTGGCAGGCCTAGGAAGAACAGAAAGAGAAATGCTGATGAACCCCGCAAAACTACTAGTGTGATCAGAATGACTTCCAAACTAAGGTGCATACTTTGCCAAAGGACAGGGCACAACAAAAAGGACTTGTCAAAGGGCTCTAACTAAAAGAGAACTGGTATTCAATTTACTTTATTTTTAAATTATTTTGTTATCTAATGAATCATTAATATACTTATATATCTTATTGTTAGGAAGAAGAGGCTGCAAGAGATAGTGGGAGCTCAGTGCCATCACAAAGCAGAAGAGGGTCAGCTCAATTAAGGCTAAGCACATAACATAAAGGAAAAAGGGATACAACAGGTATTTGTAATGGTTTTGTTTTAATTGAAAACTAATTCATTCTATGTCTTAACATATGTTTTTTGTTATGTGTGACAGTCACATAGAAGAAGTGATTCTATTGCTATCTTGTAATGGCTTTGTTTAATAAAAAAATTTATTTATTTATATGTCTTAACATATGTGTTTTGTTATGTGTGACAGTCAAGAAGAAGTGGTTCAGTTGCTCCAAGTGTTGTACAGAGAGGAAAAAGGGACTGAAGGTACAACAAATGCACAAACAAGAGGAATAAGAAGTCAATGAGCAGCCCAATCAGGGCCAAACACATAACAGGTATCTTGTAATGGCTTTGTTTAATAAAAAAACTAATTTATTTATATGTCTTAACATATGTGTTTTTGTTATGTGTGATAAACAAGAAGAAGTGGTTCAGTTGCTCCAAGTGTTGTACGGAGAGGAAAAGGGACTGCAGGTCCAACAAATGCACAAACAAGTGGAATAGGAAGTCAAGAAGTAGCCCAATCGGGGCTAAACACACAACAGGTATCTTGTAATGGCTTTCTTTAATAGAAAACTAATTCATTTCTATGTCTTAATATATGTTTTTTGTTATGTGTAACAGTTAAAGAGAGGAAATGGTTTTGCTGCTCTAAATGTAGAGAAAGGAAAAGGGATTGCAGGTCCATCAAATGCACAAGGAAGAGGACCCTCACTAGGACCACGTAAAGGAACATGGGCACAAATTAGTTTACCACAGAGAGGGAAATACATACCTGTGTTTGCCTAATTGGGAGCCAGAGGAAGTGGGTTTGGAGGATCTCAGAATCCAAGAAGTACATAAAATGAAGACTTCATTTGGCAGTATGTGTCATTATGGGACAATTGTAATGTTGAAAAATGATGTTTGTTAGTATTTTGCATTATGTTTATATTAGTTTGTTTTTGCAACTTGAAAGAACAATATGTTTTGCAACTTGTGTTTATGGATTAGGTTGGTATGTTTTTGTAGCCATTATATGGCTTACTATACTGACCTTTGTCTTGGATGGAATTAAATGAATTAATTGTTCTTTTACATTAGGATTTCATCTAGTACTTGAGTTTCTTCTAGTGTGCCTTAGAAGAAATTTTTTTTCATTGCAAAATTGAATCAGATGAATGAATGAAATACTACCTATCTGTTTGCTTGTTTCCATTGCCTACAATATAATGATAATTTTATCTCAGAATTGAGTCAGGTAGTATTTCATTGAGGGAGCCAAGTACATGTCCATAAATTGATCTCAGACAATCCAACTCCGAAATAGGAAATTGGTAAGCAGCCATCCCTCACAAACCTTCTCTTGCGAGCCTTGCTGGGAGGATTGCTCTCTGATAACCATTACCAACCCTCCATTTCCAACCAAAAATAATAAACACAACTAATATATGCACACATATATATATACACGTGCCTAAGTGAAGGGCATTGTTGTATGTTTAGAGTTAATAAGTCATTGGTAGTTTTTGTAATTTTGTAATAGTCAATAAGATTAAAAATATCATTTCAAGGATTAGAGGGCAAAATTGACCTTTTATCCATTTTTCCTGCTGACATCAGCACAAATCCTTCAGTTACTTAACGGCAGGTGATAACTTGATACGCAAAGCCAAACCTCAGGGTGTGTAGGTGGAATTATGAAATGTAGAGGGGGTGTAAGCGAAATATTGGCAAACCTCAGGGGGTGTAGGTGAAATTATGAAATGTAAAAGGAGTGTAGATAGAATTAACCCCTCTTTTTTTTTCTTTTTTTTCTTTCTTTCCTCTCTTCCTCTTTCTAGCCGCTGCTCTCTGCTATTTCTGTTCTACGTAAATTATAACCCCCAGAACCTAAACATCTCTCTATATAAAAATATATATTTATAATTATGTAATATAACCTAAAGTGATTATACACTAACCCACCTACATCCTACCACACCATAACTCAACCATATACATTACGACTTTCAGCCAACCCATACCACGTTTTGCCTTGTACAGCAACTAATGTTACGACATTATAAATAAATAAATAAATAAATCACAATTCAATTATTAGTTTAACAAACTGTGCACATATAGCCACCTTATACATATACCCTATAAATATCCCTATATATATATATTTAAACTTTATAACTTTAATAAAGTTTATATATATAAATATATTTATTTTATACAAAACATACACATATATTTATATAATACTTTAGTGTGTGTGTATGTATATATCTATCTCCCATCCATGTAACTAACTAAAAAAAATCTAAAACAACACCAATGAAAAAAATTACAATTAACTGAACAATTTCTACTAAATTTAAACACTCCACAAATAATTCAAATAGTCAAGTAAATACAAATAAAATAAAATAAAAACTAAATACTTAACATTTAAATGACAAAAAAATAAAATGCTAAAATGAATGCACAACCAATTCAAATAGCCACGTAGATAATTTAAATGAAATAAAATATAGGGTTGATTTGTTAATGGAAAAAGAAAGACCCATGAGAAATAAAATATGCTGACGTGGCTGTATAAAAAAATTATGTAAAATACACAATAATTTTACACAAAAAAGTTATGTATAAAAAAAAAAAATTACATATCATACGTGACAGTATATATTTTACACAAAAGAGTATTTTAATAGACAGCTGAAGATGCTTTAAGAAAATCCTTACAGGTCAAGAGTTGTCTAACAAGAAATTACCATATAAATACAACTCTAAAATAGAAATCAAATTATTTATAAAATATTTATAAAACTTAACTAAAAAACTCATGATGGGAGAGGAAAGTTATAAATACAACCCTTTAATTTAATTTTGTTCTTATTAATTGACTAAATGCCCAGAAAAATAATAATGTAGAAAATGGGAGGTATTAATTTGTTAAAAAAAGATTTAAATTAATAGTCAGAATGCGCCCTTTCGAAGACTTGAACTCACTATTTTAAAAAATAAAAATGAAAGAGTCACAATGCCCTGATTGAATCAGTAATTTTGACATAACATGCATATCACAAATGGTCAGAGTTGAAATTATATAGTACATCTTTTTCAGTCCATTAATGACAACCACTCATAAAATCAAAGTTCGTAATTGCCTAATATATCACAATTACCTGTATGTATTAAGATGGGTGACCAAAGAACGAAAAAATGACACATATCCTTGCTAGCTAGCTTTAGATTGTAGTAATTGAAAGCAAGATCAGATCCTGAGATCAATTGGTACGAGATATCATTCCATTAAATTTTCTAAAGAGTGACCTTGAAAGAATTAACTCAAGTGAACCAAAAGTGACCTTGGTGTTGCTTGAGTTTCAGAAATTCCAATTTAAAACATGAATAATTAAGTCTTCCTTTACCATGAACATATATAAATCAAAATTCAAGAGCCAAACAGTGAACAAAGAGAACTACAATTCATCCTTGATATAAAATAACATATATATATATATATATATATATGCTTCAGATTTATATATAATTTATATAAGAAGAAAAAAATGCAGCAGATGTTACAGTAGTAGGTTGAACTGGTAGTGATGACAACGATTGTGCCTGCATCTGAAAGAGATTAGTCTAGACTCTAGGGTAACCTAAGTTTGCTGATAGTTCGGCAATCAAATAGAGATTGGTTGGTCATACTTTTTCAGCCAAAAAACAAAAAAAACAAAAAAATTGTCCACATTTAGAATCATGAGTAAAATCTACCCGTCACCGTTGTTTTTCGTGGTTGAAAACACATTATTGCAAACTCATCTTCTCCAAAAACCATTCCGATAATTACTCCTCCAAACAAAATTGCAATCCATGATGATGACTCTATGAAGGTGGTTATAAATTAATAAAGGTCTAAAAGATCACAAGTTTCTCATTCAGTCCATCACAATAAAAATGACAAGTTGGAGGATTAATATTCTTTTGGTTATTAGTTTAGCCTTGCTATGTTCGTGTGCATCTGGGATTGATAATACTACTACACAAGTTTCATATGATTCTAATGCCATTATAATCAATGGCGAAAGACGAATTATTATATCTGGTGCAATTCATTATCCTCGAAGCACAGTAGATGTACGTAATCTTTTCTTCCTTCTTCACCATTTCTAGTTTCATAGGATAATATATATATATATATATATATATATAATTTAATTAGTTCTATTATCCGGTGACAGTTTTCAGCTTCAATGTACTGTTTCATCAGAATTATTATGAAAACAAATTTAAGACACAATTTCATACAATGATCCTTTTTCTAATATTTGATAATTGTTTCATGTTTTTAGACCAAAAAGTAACGTGGCAATTTTAAATAATTTTTTTTTTTTTTAAAAGGAACACAAACTTTTTATCTTTTCTCACAGATTATCAGAAATGTTAACCGCTATGTACTCAATCTATGCTTAATTTTACATAGTATGTATCTGCTTTTTCACCATAACAAAAGTTTAATATTAAATTTTCAGTCATTGCTTAGCATCACTTTTATTGGGGTAAAATGCAAAAAATAAAAAATAAAAATAAAAAAAACCCTCAAGTAGTGCCAAACCAGAAGGAAAGATAAAACAAAAAAATCAAAAACCTGAACAACATTTGTTACCAAAAAAAAAATGAAAAGAAAAGAAAAAGAAAAAGAACAAGAAAAAGAGAAGCTACCCCTGAGTTTTGATTTTTTATTGCAAAATGTCCCACGGCGCAGTTTGAATGTTACTGTGATGGTGTGTCACGTAACACTTAATATCTGCCTTTATAAAGATGAAAAGACTCTCATGCCCTTTTTTTAACCGTTACATCCAAACATCTCTTAACCTAATTCCCCAAAAATCCCCCAGTCGGATTGACTCTCTCCCTCGTCTCTAACTAGATTGAACCTCTCTTCTACAAAATCACCTACTCCTTCTCACTCTAATCTAGCAGCTTGACTCTGGACCTCTCTCTCACTGTTTCTATCTCTATATGTATCCTCTCTCTCTCACTCTCTCTGTCACAGCGTTGGGTAAGGGTCTGCATCCATCTCGTAAGGAGTGGTCGACATCGCCATTAGATCCAATCCCCTGTTTACCATAAACATAAACGAGCAAATAGCCAGCACACGCCAATATGAAAGCAAATCGATACTCTTTACTGGTCAAATCTCCAAACGTTTCGAAACGCTCAGGAAATGCATCAAAGCCGTACCCAAGAACACTCCGCCGCCGAATTGCGTCCCGACCACCAGAAACCTCTCATTCCGTTTCATGAAGTAGGGCGATATACCTCTAATGGGAGGGCTCCGATGAATACGAGAATTAAGCACCATATCTTTACCAGAATTAACGGTCTTGATCGGAGGTCCGACTTGTGGGAAAACGATTCGTCTTCGGCAGAGGCGGAGAGGAAGGGAAAGAGGAAAAGAAGAGATCGAGGCATTGGAATTAAAGAGAGAGGGGTGAGCCTTTAGAAGGAATTTCTAGGGTTTTAAATAGGATTAGGTAATGAATAAATTTGGCAATGCTTGGTATATGCACGTTAAAGATTTGAAATTGTGGTTTTAATATGTGTTTTTGCATTAGCATTTTCATTTTCCATTGTACTAGCATATCTCACACGAATCTTTATATGGGTTGCAGATGTGGCCAGACCTAATTCAAAAGGCAAAGCAAGGTGGAATTGATACGATTGAAACATATATCTTCTGGGATCATCATGAGCCTCGACACAGACAGGTTTATATTGATCTTCTAGTGTGCCACTAGTTTCCAATAAAATGAGCTAATTAACAGTGTAGCCTAACATGTGTTTTTGTTATATATTTCTAATGACTTAGTATGACTTCTCCGGGAACCTAGACTTCATAAGGTTTTTCAAGACAGTTCAAGAAGCTGGACTGTATGCTATTTTGCGAATTGGTCCTTATGTATGTGCAGAATGGAATTATGGGTAAGTACTTTTCTGCTAATAGTAATTATTGTAAAAGGGTGAAAGATCACTTGACGGTTTCTAAATAAAGAGTAAAAGCTATTACACTTTTTGGCATTATTTTACATAAAATAACTAATTTGGGTCTCAAATTTGTATCCTCATGTTTGTCAATTTGAGCATAACATTGCACGTAGCAATGATACATATGGTGTTTTCCTTTGATCAGAGGTTTCCCTGTTTGGTTACACAAGATGCCAGGAATTCAGCTAAGGACAGATAATGCAGTTTTCAAGGTGTCTTTTCTTTTTTCAAAGCATTATTTTACATGTTTCTATAGCTATATTTACATGTTGAGTGACATTAGTATTCTCTGTCATCGTTGATCCCTAATATTAGAGAATAGTGACATCAAGTGTTCTAATTTAGCTTTTGTTTGCAGAGTGAAATGCAAACATTCGTTGCAAAGATAGTAAGCATGTGCCAGGAAGCTAAGCTCTTTGGACCACAAGGAGGACCCATAATTTTCGCACAGGTATTGCTTATTGCAGCCATATATCTATTTGTATTTATTGTACTGACATCAATATAAGCTGCTTTGAGATTATTTAGCTTTGGAGTTCAAAAATTACAGATTGAGAATGAATATGGAAATATCATGAAATCTTATGGAGAAGCAGGAAAGTCATACGTTAAGTGGTGCGCTAAAATGGCCCAAGACTTGAATATTGGTGTTCCATGGTTCATGTGCCTACAACCAGATGCACCACAACCAATGGTATAAATTTTAATTCATCCACTTTCACTCTAATGAGAAGACAATACACATCATCTTCACTTTTCAAAGGGTTTTGATTGACCATTGTTATGATGTCATTAGCCTTAAATTTTTTATTGATCTTTAAATACCCAAAATATTTACCATACATATATATAGTTCTAAGCAAGATTGTTGGATTAAGGTAGTCTACAACAATACTACTAATGATTTTATAAATAACTATTGATTGGTTGTTTCCGTGCATCCTAAATTATCAATCCAGTAAAGGAACCTAAACACATGATATATCACGCAGATCGACACATGCAATGGGTTCTACTGCGATGATTTTGAGCCAAACAATCCAAACAGTCCCAAAATGTTCACTGAGAACTGGACGGGATGGTAAGACAGTGTCTTTTTTTTTCTTTTTTGTCTATCTCTTCTTTCCCCTTTCATTATCCGAATCACATATACTTGATGGTCATTTTGAATTGAAATGGCTTTTCATCCTAATAGGTTCAAGGGTTGGGGTAGCGAAGACCCTCATAGACCTGCTGAAGATTTGGCATATTCCATTGCATGCTTTTTCCAAATCGGTGGTGTTTTAACTAACTATTATATGGTTAGTCACATCCATCCAATGTGATATTTGATCCACTTTTTTATATTGCTATTGTAGTTTTTGTACTAATGAGGATTTTAACTTCAATCAATTGAATCAAATATTTTCAGTATCATGGAGGAACCAACTTTGGGCGCTCAACGGGAGGTCCATATATTACTACAACCTATGATTATGATGCACCACTTGACGAATATGGTAATCATTCTTCCAAAGGGTTAAACTTTTATGCAAAGAGAAGATATATAAAAGGCAACCCTGTCATTCACTACAAGACTAAAATGAAACTAAAAAGATGCGGCATTTATATATATATTTTTTTCATAATTTTTTCTTTTTTTCATAATTAGCATTTATATATTTTAGTTACCACTGATGATAAAAATTTAAATGAAATAACCAAGGGCCTAGTGGTATCCCTCTATCTTCTAAAGTGGATGGTGAGGGTTCGAGTCCCCAAAGGGGCAAAGTGGGTGTGTGTGTTTCTTGCCAATGACAATTTTTAATTTTTTTTTAATGAAATAAACTTTGCAGGGCTCCCAAATCAGCCTAAATATGGACATCTGGCTCAACTTCATGCTGCTCTTAAGTCGGTGCAGAAGGTTCTCACTAGCACCAAACCCACACACCAGAGTGTTGGAAATCAAGTTAACGTAAGGAACAATAAGTAACTTGTCTATATTAATCCAAAAGAAAAGTACTAATGTGAAATGATCCTATCTATTTATTATCAGTTGACAACATTCCTTAACAACGCTACGGGAGAAAAGGTCTGTTTCTTGAGCAATTCAAATGAAGGACAAGATGCCAACATTGACTTGAAAGAGAATGGCAAGTACTTTGTTCCTGCTTGGTCTGTTAGCATTCTTGATAAATGCAATAAGGAAATTTACAATACTGCAAAGGTAAAAGTGATGGTGTGGTCTTTCTTTAATCAAAACCATACTAGTTTTGCTTGCTCATTTCAAAAATCTGGAATGATGTATAACTCTGTTACCATGATCAGGTTAATACTCCGACAACTGTGATGGTTAAGGAACCAAACAAGGCCGAAAAAGAACCTGCCAAGCATTCGTGGTTATGGAAAGCAGAGTCCCTCCAAGGAAAGGGACAATTTACTGCAGCGAAGCTTCTTGAGCAAAAGGAGACAACTGTAGATGCTAGTGACTACTTGTGGTACATGACAAGGTAATTTCCATTTCTCTTCACTCGGTCTCTTCTTGAGTTGAAGTTTACAAAGGATAATATATATAGTACTTTGTACCCTCGCAGGGTTGACATTAATGACACGTCAATGTGGAAGGATGCAAATCTGTTTGTGAACACAACAGGCCATGTACTTCATGCGTATGTAAACCGAAAACTTATTGGTATGATGCTTTCATTAAGTTTCTTGAGCTTCATCATTTTCCTCTAAAGTTATAAATACATTTACAAAATATGTGAAGTCCAATTCTTATTTGGTTGTTGTTCATAATCTGGTGATAACAGGATCCCAATGGGGCACAGATGGGAAATATAACTTCACGTTCCAAAAAAAGTTAACACTCAAACGTGGGACTAATTTTATATCTTTGCTCAGCGCCACAGTCGGACTTCAGGCATGTTTTTTCACAGTTGTAGAAGCTGGATGAAGATAGTAAAGGATTTTTAATTAGCTTTGTTAAATTAATAGTTGAATTACGTTGATTAGAAAATTATTGTAAGTTAAAATGATTATTTTTGTGGACACAACATGCTGAACCTTATCTTAGTTTCTTATTGGTACTTTCACCTGAGCAGAACTACGGTGCATTTTATGATTTGGCACCTGCTGGAATAGTCGGTGGGCCAGTTAAACTGATCAGCAACAAAAACGTTCCTATGGATTTATCCACAAACCAATGGTCATACAAGGTAATTAATTGGTCAACCGGAAAGAGTTTCAATCACTGCTTATGTTTGCTGTATTACTGATATTTGACAATTAACTTACTAATTTTCATTTTCTGGATGAAGGTCGGACTGAATGGTGAGGCCAAAAAATTCATGAATCCTGAAAGTCTTAGTCACCGCTCAATTAAATGGTCCACAGATAAACTTGCCATAATGAAACCCATGACTTGGTATAAGGTACTCCTCCATCCATTTTCACCCCTCAATTTAACGCTCATATTAGAGCAATTAGTATTGCAGCAAAATCAATTTAAAGATTTCATTTGCCAATTCTTTTTGTGTTTCAGACCACCTTCCAGGCTCCATCAGGCAAAGACCCTGTTGTGGTGGACTTGCAGGGCATGGGGAAGGGGCATGCTTGGGTGAATGGGCAAAGTATTGGGCGCTACTGGCCTACTTTCCTTGCTCCTAAAGTTGGATGTAATGCCACTTGTGATTACCGTGGATATTATAATAATACAGCCAGATGTATGACAAATTGTGGCAACCCTACTCAGCGATGGTAATTGAATTGTTTACTCTTTTCTTGGATTAACCATGAATCAGTTGCATTACATCTATTCATAGAATTACGATATATAAATATACCAGGTACCATGTCCCAAGATCATTTCTCAGAAATGACAACAACACTTTAGTTTTGTTTGAAGAAATGGGTGGAAACCCAACACAAGTGGCTTTCCAAACTGTCACCATTGGAACAGTTTGCGGAACTGCATACGAGGGGAGCACACTGGAATTGTCATGTCAAGGTGGGAAAACATTATCGAATATCCAATTTGCAAGCTTTGGGGATCCAAAAGGAACTTGTCAGACTTTCAGTAAAGGCTCTTGTGAGTCTGCTACGGCCATGTCTGTTGTGCAAAAGGTAACCAACACTAAACTACCTTGTTGGAGTATAATTCTATAGAAGAGCATTTTCCATATGAACTCTTTTGTTTTTCTCTGGTAGGCCTGCACTGGAAAAGAGAAATGTTCTATCAATGTTAGTGAAGGAACACTTGGAGCAAGCAACTGTGCCAAAGACATCACTAGGAGGGTGGCAGTGCAGGCTGTTTGCTCATGAGGGATGATTAATCCTTTTGAAAGCTACTCCCGAGAAAGAGTAGCTATACAGTTTGAAGATTGTATCAATTACATATTTCAATCTAAAAAAGAATTATCCTCTGACTTGTTAACATAACTCATCAATCATCTCACAGTGGATATGATAGTGGTGGTGCCGGCAAGATGAATGGGCTAATGGCAGATTGATGCATTACCATGTGCATTTATGGACTATCAAATGAGCATAAAAATTCAGATATGATATAGCCTGTTGACAAAAGAGGAAAGTTGAAAATAAATGAACGCCCTCCAAGAATTTTTTTTTTTTTTTCCTATGAATTTGACTAAACATGTTCAGAAATATAACGTAGAAAACGGGTGTAAGTTGGCCAACTCCCAAGTGATCTGTAAAAAGGGCTCCGAATGGTCAGATTGAGCCCGTTTGGCGTTAAAAAAAAAAAAAAAAAAAAAATGGAAAAAAGTGTCAAAAATTGCAACGGACTTAGTTAGACCTGACTTGTTTCGGATTCTGACACATCTTGTAAAACAAGCCCACGACTTACCCTCGTTACGTTCCGATTTAAGAATTAAACCTCATAGATCAGATTGGATCACCAATCAAGCCTACTTCACTTCAAACAACGACAGTTTTCAACAACATATTTTAAAATGAAATTAGATATGTGATATTGCCACTTCACTTGTCATTTCTACCCTTTGCGCTCAACTTTATTGATTAATTTACTTTTATAAAGTAGTGCTTACAAAATTGCTTTTTTAGATAACGGTAATGTTCAATTCCAATGTTGTTGAGTGAAAAAAAAAAAAAAAAAAAAAAGATCCAATGTTGTCATACCCCCTATATCCACCCAAAAACAAACAGAAAATAAATGAACCTTAAACAACCATTTCAGCTTCTTGAACATTAGTTGGGATCCCCACATCTAATCTCATGGTTGACTTGTACTTCTCGGGCACAGCTGCACCACCCTGCATACAGATTTCCACCACTGCCGGGGCCTGACCGTAGAAGTTTCTAAGCTCCCGTTTCAACAGCGGCTCATCCAAATCAGGTACATGCCACACAAATCTTGGTGGTATTAAGTCATCAAGCACTGCTGACTGCCACCCGTGCTGCCCATTCCGCTGCTGATGCTTGTGGGCGCCACAGTTCTGTGCCTTGTGCCCGCTAGCGCCCACATGCACCTCTGGGCAATAACCACACACCCTCACTGGGTACATCTTCATCAGCTTCTTGGCTCCTTCCCTCATTTTTTCCCATGCTTGGAGAGTTTCCTCAGCAAGCAACGCCGTATCTTCTGCACTGGTTGGGGGTACTATCTCTGCATTGGGTATTTCAGTTAATATTGGTATCTTTGGAGCTTCAGGATCAGGGTCTGGTAGTTCACTTTCATCTGCATCTACGAATTCATTTTTTCCAATGCGTATGATTGGCTTTCTTCTTCTTTTTTGGGGAAATTCAGGTATATCAACCCCTGCTTGAATGCATAACTCAACTACTGCTGGAATTCTGGGGACTGAAAATCTCTCTTCATGAGGAATACGTTTCCCAAGACGATCATAGAGGTGGTAGGCTTCTACTTGCACCAGTATGTCTTCGACAATTGCATTTGTCCACTCATGAAGTCCCCTGCGCATTGAAGCACCTTGACCTCTACATGACTTGAATGGATGCCCGACAGGTCCCACATGGACCTCATTGCACCACCTGTAGACGTATTGCAGTACCATGTCATGGCAGAATGAATAACATTTGCACAAATTACTTCTGATAACCTATTTCCACATCTTTTGGAAAGGGAGAAAAATTAACTGTGAAATTGTAGTTACTGGGGATGCAATTTTAACCAAATAATATAAAACATGGACATCCATGGATGGGTAGACTGGGTTCAAACCTAACAATTAGTATTATTTGTACATAGTGCGTAGTATAGAGATCTATAACTCATAAATTGCCATTAGCCAAATGAAACTAGAAGGGGAATAAAGAAAGAGAATTACTTGCAAGCATGTACAGGCACCACAATTAAAAGCTTCTTGAGATTGTTGATCAATGTCACTCTGGCATTCAGCACATCATATGCAACCGGAATTAGGCTTTTAACCAGCAACCCTTTCTTAGGAGGAGGGACTGGTCTTCTAGGTTGGCCTTTCCTGTTCTTGAGCCTCTCTCTGGCAGCTCGCCTTAGCTCCACTATGGGTATAGGGAAGGGCTTCTTCTCCTTCTTTGAGTAATAACGAGGCAAATCGGCATTTTGGGGATAATTGCATCTGATGACCAAAGCATGGGGTTGAAACAAATTCTGTGAAGTGATTTTAGAATCTAACTGATGTTTGAATTCACTGCCACCACACTGCAAAAGCAAAAATATAGAATATTAAGAAAATTTTCAGAATTACAGTCAACTAAGGAACAGATATGGAGGGATACAAATTAATAATTTCTTATGAGCTACAGAAATTAACTAAAACTAAATTTGCTGGAATGAGAGAACTTAAGAGTCAGTAAAAGTGCGAGAGTCTTTCTTAAATTCAATTAACGTAAATGAACCATAATCATGTAGCGCTTTTCCTAGTAGATTGTGTGACGATCTGATTCCCTCAAGTAGAGAAAATAAAGCAATGATATAAATAATAATGCTAAGTCATAACATAAAACTAATAAGCTAATCAATATAACAAAGTCCCAACATTTAAACACATCTTTCACACATAAGTCCCTAGAACAAAAATGTAGGTGTTCCGTAATATACAACTACATATTCCACAAGGTTTGCTGCTAGAACCCAAAAATAAAAAAAGATCATAGAGACTTTCGAACCCTGAGAAGCTCCATACACCTATTAGTAAATACCGGGTGGGAGCTGTCATCCCCAATTGGAAATCTGACCTTGTTGCACCCAATATAACTTACGTGTTCCACAAAAAACAACACAATCCTATAAGATATTCAACCGCATCAATGATTAATACGTCAACCATTAAATAAGTTCCCCACATTCAATATGTATAATATAGAATCCACAATTAAAAATATCAACTAAGCAGAAGCCACACACAATTCATACAAAGAATACGGAAGTGAATAGAATACATGCACTTCAAACCATCACTTGACTTGAGTCACTCGACTCCACCCAACTCAAATCAATTTAGCTCAGCACGACTAACTAAACTTATTCAAACCAGTTAATAAATGTTAGCCACACAAGAATGGTGGGCTTGACCCAACCCAACTCAATTTGGCCCAACGCTACTCACTACATGTACCAGATCTTTTTTACAAGTCACCCTTGGTGGCTAGTACGGGCACAGGCTCCCAGTGGTCATCTCCCCAAAAGACACAACATCAAACAAAAACTCACTAAATCTATTAAAACTAGTTAATAATTATGTGTCATACAGTAATGGAAAACAACCATGTACTAGATCTTTACAAGTCACCCATGAAGGCTAGTACAGGCAAAGGCTCCCAGTGGTCATCGCCCCAAAAAATGCATCAAAAAGAAAAACTTCGCTACACGGGGATACCATAATGCACTTATTATTTTAATTTCAGGTGACCCACAGAATTTAAGAACTTGATGCATTCCATATTATACCAAAAGTGACTTTATATGAAGATTAAAATTAAATACCCTTTTCACCTGGAAAATGAAGTATCAGACAACGGTTGCAGCCTCATCAGCATGCCAAGTCTAGAGCATATAGAGTAAATATTACATACCTTGAAAGAATCAAGTGAACCTAAACCTTGGTTTTGCTTGAGTTTCAAAAATTCCAATTTTAAAGGTGAAGTCCTTCCTTTACCATGAATCAAAATTGCAGTGCCAAACGGGGAACAAAGAGAACTACAATTCATCCCTGATATAGAATAAAAAAATAAAGTGCATCAGAATTATAATTTATACAAGAAGAAAAAATGGCAGCAAATGTTACTGAAGTTGAAATGGTGGCGGTCTATCACCAACATAATTATTAATGGAGGTGGTAATGCTAGTGATGAAATTTTCCCCTCCTCTTCCTTAATAATCAGATACCCACTTCCGAAATACCATTCATGCGGTGTCAAAAAGCCCTAAGCTTGAGAATTTTCTCACAATTCCTTTGATTTTTTTTTTTAATTAGTATTCACAATCATACATTTCCATCCAATATAAAAACAAAAGGATTTATAGAAAGGTAAAAAAAGGGATTAAATTCAACAAATAGGAGACTATATAAATCACTAGACCCAAGTTAAATTCTCCCAATCAATCCATTGATTACAGTAGAGTTAATAAAAATTCTTAGAACATAACCCAATACAGAAAATTACTTTAAAGTCAAAAAAGAACATACAAAATGTAAGAGAATGGAGGACGTTGCAGAATGAAATTATCAGAAACATTTTTATGTATATATCATTTTTAAAAAAAAAAAAAAAAAAATCCAAACCTACATATGCTCATATATAGAGAATAAGGCATGAAAAAGGAAGCTTACTTCGGCGGATTCAGACTGAAATTGACATCCCAATTGTTATTTGGTCAGTGAAAGCAAGAAATTAATCTGTTACAACACAGTCCACGCATTGCCAAAGTTCCGAAGCAGAGAGAGAGAGAGAGAGAGAGAGAGAGAGAGAGAGTTGTGAGAAGCTGTTGTGAACACGCGTGTCTTGGGCCTTAGCCGTTTAGTGGATTACTTGATACCAAATCCTATCTTTATTCGGGTCAGGCAAGGACGTAAGTCTGGGTCAACCAGTGCACTCCAAAGGACCAAAAGATTGGGCTGTCTTTCGGGCTCTGAGATAAGTTTAATGGTGGCTTTATGGTAATATTAAGTGGTTTTGGTGTGACGCCACGTGGTGTGAGGAAGAGATGATATCTTTCCCTTGGTCGAAAATATTCGCCGATGAAAAAAAATTGCCACCATTAAATTACGTGGTTTTGGTTGCTTTATGGTGGTATTAAGTGGTTTTGGTATTTTGAAAAAAATTGCTTTTAGTAAAAATTATTTTATTTTATGCAGTGTTGAAATATTTTGGTCAAAAATTGAAATACTAATTTGTTACTTTTACATATTTTTGTACTGCAAAAATAGGTACGGTAGCAATGAACAGTATCTCAAATTTCTCGGCTTATCTTCTGATATCACAATCTGATTCAATTTGTTTTTAATTGTTGAACATTGGTCAACAATTTTCTAATATATTGCCACACTTAAATATATATATGTGTGTGTGTGTGTATACTTGCTTCATTCACAGGTTATAGTGTTTGATTGCTGAATAGTTTCTTTATAGTCTTTATCTTCCTAATTTGAATATTATTTATAACACCAATATATTTTTTCTGTTTCACTTTTAGAGTTTGATGTTTTAGAGAAATTTCTCTTTTTATTTATTCTAATCATTTTTTAATAACTTCAAATTAAATATAACATTAGGACCGATGCCTTGGTAAGTGTCTAATGATTAATTACTAAAAATCGTGATAGTGCCCTTTTGATTTTTGTCCATACAATTGACCATATGAATAATATGGTGTACTTACCATTTTTATATAATAAAGCATAGCAACATTGGTCAATATAATGGCTAAGGAAAATGAAAACAAGATAAACTTGTGCAATTTTTTTATGCCATTAAAGTATAAATTTTCTAAAATACTTCTACAGTGTAATTTAATATAAATTAATCTTTAATTTAATATAAAATATAAAGATTAATGAAGTGTTTTGAAAATATTTTGTGAGTGTGCGTAAATTTATATATATTTTTTTTGTATTATAGGATTGCAATTTGTCTTTTTTTTTTTTTTTTTTTTTTTTTTTTTTCGGTTTCTATCAATTTGAGTGTCTGCATTTCATATGTTATTTTGCGTGTTCATGTTTTGGTTCAATTATTTTTGCATACTGTACCCAACTTTTGGAAAAAGTTCTGCAAGTCTGCATTTCATTTCTAATTCCAGTGAGGCTTTTTTTTTTTTTTTTTTGAAAGATATTATTTGACATGTTTGTTGTATGTTATTCTAGTTTGAAATGGCATATGACAGATTGCATGATATCATTGTTCACTTTGAGAGACACATACATGTAATAGGAAATGTTCATCCAGACAAGTTCAGTTATGTCATGCTGTATAATAATGTTATTGTATTGCTGAAAAATGATATTCAGAAAGGTGCGGAATTGAATTTTTTCTTTAAATTTCTTGGAACTGATCAGAAAGGTGCGACATTGACTTTAAGTTGGGAATGTATTGATATATTTGAGACTTTAAGTTGGAATTATTTATGTATTTTGAACCTTAAAGTTGGGAATGTATTGATATATTTTGAGATTTTAAGTTGCTGTAACAGGTTTTCAAAATTGGATTACAGACATAGCACATATTTTAGCTTACCAATTGCTGTAACAGGTATTAAAAATTTGCAATCCTCTAATAGGTTTTAAAAATTGGACAATAATAGGTTATGATTTTAGAGGTTTAAAAAAAAAATTACAATTGTTTTACATGTTTTCAATTTAAATTAAAATTTGTTGGCCAATTGTATTACAGGATTGTAACTAGGTGCCGTTTCAAAAAAAAAAAAAAGAAAAAAAAAAGGGGATTGTGCAAGATACAAGAATGCTTTTACATTCTAACATGCAACCAATTAAGAAAGAAATAAAATATGCAAGCAATTAAGAAAGAGTATTATAATAGCTAACGTCATTGCCGGGAAAAAAAATAAAAAGAATAGCAAAAGGCATCAATTATATGTAGCAAACAGCTGTGGCTTGTAAGGTCATTGGGGGTACTTTAGTCATGAAAATTTTGAGGGGTATTTTAGTCATGAAAAATTTGAAATAAATTTTTTTTTAAGTCAACAAATGGTCAAAAGGGTAAAATAGTCATTTTATATCTAAAAAGTATTTCACTTACCCCCAAATTGACATTTGGGGTGTAAGTGAAATACAAAATCACTCTTTCAAATATGAGTGAAAATTAAAAAGAAAATCTTAATCTGGGTGAGAAATAACCTAACCTCAGGGGGTCTAGGTGTAATTTACCCTACTTTCTATTACTATTTAAAATATCATATAACAAAACGCTTGTTTTATTTTGGGTTAAAACAAAATGCGTACCAAACAGCCTTAGGGTTAAAATCAATAAATTTCTCTATAATTTTGAAAATTAAAAAGAGTAATGATACTTACACCGATGAGTTAGACAGAATTGTTAGGCCTATTACGTTTGATTCGTCAATATATATCAAATATAAGAAAGTGAGACCTCCACTTTTTTATTTAATGCATTAATAACCAATAAAATTTAGTTGGCCTAATGATTCTGCCTAACTCATCGATGTAAATATCATTACTCAATTAAAAAATATCCCTCTCGAATAATATTATTGAATGTTAGATGGATTTTTATCTTAATAGCAATTAATGACCATTTCTCACCTTCAGTATTGTTTCCAGATATTATTTTGGAACTAGTTTTTCATGTTTTGACAAAATGTTTATCTATTTGAGGTTTAACATAACTTGAAAAGGTGTAAGTGTAATTTGCCTTAAAAATAATGGTAGTTGAGGATTTGTGCTGTTCTAAAATTATCAATTGATGATTTTTTATACTATATATTTTTTGTGAGAATTGTAGGAATTTTTTTTTTTTCTTTTGTTTTTTTGTTTGGTCAAACGATAGAATTCCCAATGGTGAACGACCAAGAGTATAACATGCCATTTTACATTCCTAATGGTTGAAAATTTCAATCTATCTAAATTCAAATTTAACTCCCAACCCAAGCCATATACAATCACACCAACCATCCATTTTAGCTGAAAATTATTTATGGCCTAGCTAGCCTCGGTTGGTGGAATTTCAGCAAGAAAGAGATAAGGGCATGAGTCAACCTTGGCGCTTAGACCAGCAGGGAATCCAATATAGATAGATATAGATGGCACATGGTAGGTAGGCTTATTAAGTAGGTAGGAGGCACGTTTGATATGCTAAATCCATCATTGGATACTATCTAAACAGATCAAAACAGACCTTAAAAGTTTGATAAGATCGAATAAGAATGATTGAGGAACAGAAAATGAGTTGTTGAATAGAGAGGTGAGAGGTCAAACTCCAACACTGCCAAGCCAAAATAGCAATGGAATTTGAGCAATAGCCATCAAAAGCAAGAGATAGTGTCGCTTGCTTGAATGGTTGTCAAAGCTTCTCACCTCTGCAATTAAAATCCTCTTCGTGATCTTCACCAAGAAAACTCCCATACAGAAGCACTCCCACAACGTAACTAGATAGAAACAGTGATTCCACATAATCCTAGCAACCAAGATCACACACGCCGCCGTGAAAGTGTATCCACCATAGGACACAATGTCAAGCAACGGTATGTCCCCACCTCCCAACGAGTGCAATGTAGCTTCAAGAACCAGGATTTGCAACACCCAGCACAGTAGTCCATTGCTAAACTGCACACCCAATGCCTCTGGGCTAAACCTACAACATCGATATATGAGCATAGTTAAGGAGTTTATTAATCTTAATTTAAAACAAATATTTGAACTCACTTTCCATTGATGCCCAAAAAGAATCCAGCCAGAACCACATAAGTATTAAATGCCATCAATGGAATGTACAAATCAGGTGCATTTATATCATCAACTGGAGGTTTATACATGAACTCGCCTCCAACAGGCTCTGTTGTCCTCATCCAATGTCCCTGAAATTTTGTGTGTCTTAGTTTTGATGGAGGAAGCAAGAAACAAGCACACATGCCTAAATTTAAAATAGAACAGAAGTCAGTTCAATTATCACATACGTACCCTGTGAAGAAATGGAAACAAGATCACCTTCAATTTGTTCTTCACATACTGCTCATTCACTTGAAAATAGTAGTGGGGGTTGGAGAAATATCTGCTAATCTGTCATACATACGTTTCCATGTTATTAAGTCAGATTTGTTTGCTACACTTCGAAGATATGCCAAAGTTAATCCCTAAAAAATTATGTATATAGCCCAGAGGAATGTGCCATTTAGACTTAAATTGTAATCCCAAACGAAGAAAGTGACATTGAGGAGGAATAATGATGATGTTTAGTAAATTTTTACGATGAAAAACTTGCTATACGTACATGTATAACATAATTAATTGTGTAGTTCTGAAGCAATTTCCAAATGTAGCTTACCACTTGCTCTCATAAAGTGCAGAAGAACATACATTTTAAAATTCTGAAGGCCTTCTAATCACCATAATGCCTGAAAATATGTATTTACAATAGATAGATACATTTCAAGATGTAATAATTATATTATATACTCCAGCGTGTAATCATCTTACATTGCTTTGCACATAGGCAGACCCTGATCCTATTATCTTCTCCCCATAAGCACCTAATTCAGTTTTGATAAGATCTGATCCAGCTCCACATAGTGTTTCCCCGAACGGTATAGTCTGTTGGCTCGAAGCCGGTATAAACACCCGAGCATGGCTACTTGAATTTCCATACATTGCTGAAACTAATGACATCAATGAGTATAGTCATCAATAACAACTAATTATTAAATCAGTTAATAAAAACATTCAATTAATCTACTTACCGTTTTCCTTCTCCTCCGATAAACCAATGGCCATGAAGGTGCTTCTGCATAAGAGATAAGAGAACAAAAAGCAGGGTATGCACCTGAGAGGTGGACTTTATTGATATCTCTCTACCCATAATAAGGTAGGTTCTATAATTTGATTTGATTATAAATTTGACATCTAAATATTTCATTTTCAGACTTCATGTTAATACTCCAACAACTTCAACTTTGAGCAGTTTCAATTCCATTACTTTATTTATTTTGGTAAGTTCAATTCAGGTATTGTCATTAATTCTCTCAATAAGGATTTTTGAGTTTCCTTTTAAGAGGAACAAGATCTCCTTTTAAGATTTGATTTTCTTTGTAACATTCAATTTTTGTAACCAACATTTGCAGTCGTCACTTAACACTAGAATTGATAAAACAGAAAGCAACAACTTAGCTCAACCTAGCTAATATGGAAGTGGGAAAGTTCATCTTTAGAAAGCACTCTCATATTAAAGCACACAATGTGAGCTAAAAAAAAGTTGGTAGAATTCATTTATATATATATGTGTGTGTGTGTGTGTGTGTGTGTGTGTGTGTGTGTGGTCATGAACATGAACATACACATACAAAATAAAGAAAGCATCAAAACTCAGTACCCTGTGTAATTTCTTTGGTTTGTTGGTCTAAGAGTAAGGCAGTTTCACATGTAGCCCAGCCCACCTAAAACGCCATCAAATTCTTCCTAAATCCTCAGCAGCTTCACGGTCCTCTTTAGAAAACCAAACCTCTATTTCGCCCAATTTTTTTTTTTTGGAAAGTATGACGTGGAAATTACAAAGGGTCCAAAACCCAATGTCACAAGTTTCATGGCACTGACTTTTAATTATTTCATAACTGTATGATAAAGTGACAGCTTGTGACCAAATAGTTATGAGAAAGGCTACCAGAATATGATACCCAACCACAAAAGAATTGAAAACTAGGCAGAGTTGACAATTCTTGGGTTTCACATTTCTGCTTAGGTGGGCAGTTGCGATTGGGTTATTCTGAACAATTTACATGGTGGTTGTTACTGGATTGGGGAGTTATATGGAAATAACGTCGGGTATTGTAATTCCAGTTTTTAAGGCAAAGGTGGTGTTTGTGTTGGGTCGTAATCAGCAGCTGAGTATGCAGACTGAATAGGGACCATTTAATAACATAGAATAATCCATTAAATCATGTAACAGGGAAAAAATAATGTCATACAAGTTACAAGCTAGACAATTTTTCATCAAACCAAATAAAATAACATCTCCCACCAATTATAAATCACAAAAAACAAAACACAAAACAAAAAATCACAATTTACTTTTCCACTCATTCTAACTATATGATTAGAAACGATATGGTTTGTATGTGCTTAAACTTGCATAATTAACCTTACTGGAATTATATAAAAAAATTATACCATTAAAGAGCTTGTACCAAGAAATATGATTTTCTATTTCATTAAAAGTTTTCATGGAATTTCGGAAGGAATATATAATGGCAAGAGTAGATAAATTGAACAGTGTTACAAAGTAAAGTCAAAATCAAAAGCCGTTCCAAGCCAGCAGCCCGGCCTGTTCTAAGACCGCAACCCATTGTCACAAGGCCCATATGGGTGGGCTTGTATTTCTCAAAATTCTTTCTGACCGGCCCGAATCAAAATGACAACCCTACACATGGGCTTGTCAATTGTTATTTGAACCTGTTGACACTCTTTGTAGAAATTTCCCCACAAAGCATTCTAGGCCCAAGCCCTTCACTTTGTTCTATAGGCCACTAATGTTGGGGCATACCCAAAATACCCTTGAATGTTAAACACCATTCATTTGTTGACTCTATCCAAACCGGCTGGAAAGTTGTTTTAAAATATAGTACTAGTATTGTTTAAATTAGGTAGTAGGTCACGTATATGTAGGGTATAAGGCTGACGTAATGCATTCAATTCACTACTAGTAGTAGTCTGTCCTTTTAGGCAGTATTTTGGAGCCATTCAAGCTTTTAATTAAACTCAACAGCCTACTGCTCAGCTCTTTTAGGTAACATTTGGTAGTATTTTGGAGCCGTTAATCAAACTCAACAACGTACTACTCAGCCCTTTTAGGTAACATTTTGTCTGTTGTTATTTGTTTATAATATTAAGATTTCCATTCTTTGACTATGTGTTACAGTAGTAGTAGTATATTTTAACCTAATTATCAACCAACACCAACCTAACAGTTCTTGAGCTTCTCATGAAAAACAAACTCTACTAATGGATCCTTTCTTTTCTTTTAAAGGAGAGGTCCAAGGATGCATCAAACGGCTTTCAATCAATCATGTCGTCAACGACTCATTTTCATAGATTATATTGGAACCGTCCGATAGAATTTTCCAGCCGAGAAGAACAGTAGATATTTGCTGGTACGAATTAAATTAAGGAAAAGTAGTAGAGCCCAAGTAGATGGAGTTTGTAAATACGAAGTAGCGGTCAAAGTCTATCCAATGCCGTAGCCATTGGGACATTACAATTGGGTCACGTACTCACATCATCATGCCAATCATATAAAATCCAATATATTTTACATCCAGTTGTCACATGCATGTTACCACTAAGTTCATGGCATTTTTGTACAGTTAGTTAATTAACACTAATTAAACACAAGAGAGTCAATTATTTAAATCCCATTTTGGTTGTAATAATACTATTTGTTATTCTTATATGTTTAAAAAATTGGTTTGCGTACGTGACTAGGTTTTGCAAAATGTAGAATTAGCTGGAAGACATTGAATTGATGGAGATCGACACTGAGAATGCATGTATTTAAAAACCCACCATTGGTGATGGAGAAAGCATTTTCAATTTGTTTAGAATATAAGGGTGGAAAATGAAGAAGCTTCCAGGGTACAATGCAGATGTTGCAGAAATTAAAGAAACATTATTTGAGTGAAGTACTTGTTAGTTGTTTCCATCTCTTCATGCCTGAAATTATTCATACTTAATTGCATGCATGCACGCACATGGGGTACGTTTGTATCTACAGTATAGTATAGTATATATGTATGAGATGGAAACAAGATCTCGGAAATCATGGGCAGATCTCGGAAATCACCTAATCACCAAGTCAAAGGCTGTACAAGGTCTCTGACTTGCTTGTGGTATGGTTTACTATGGAATAGTATAACAGTATACATGTGCTTTTTTCTTTTTAGGAACTATGGATCCCATAAACTGTTAGGGGCCTAACAGATATACACAGGAGAGTGAAGAAATGATGATAGTATTAGTTACGAGAAGAAAAAAAAAAAAAAAAAAAAAAAGGATAATACTAATAATTTTTATTTATATTTAGATAAATAGTAAATAAAAAAAAAAAATGATAGTTTTCTTATTTAGATATGATAGAGGGAGAAAAAAAAATAAAGGATAACAATCAAATTACTATCATATCTTTTTAAATAGATAGAACATGACTAGAATAATAATTTTTTCCTTTTAATTGTTGGTGGCAGTTTCGAAATTATGAAAATATCATTTAAACAATATATTTTCTTTCCTTTATCTTCTTATTTTTGGACAGATAGGATTCGAGGAATAGGGAGGGCTTCTTCTATTATTTTAAGAAAAATGATAGGTCTTCTGACGTTAATTGTCGACTCTTCCTCCGAACACAACGTGGTTGGATCCCATTGAAATTCTTAAAAAAATTCCCGTAAATATCTTTTTTTCTTCGACTCATTCTCAACCACGTTATATTCTGAGAAATAATCGGCAATTTAAGTTGGAAGTCAGTTCTCTTATTTTAATTATCATTTCCAATCTTTTTTTTTTTTTCTATCATTTTAAACAACTCAAACACAATTTACGCTGTCATTTCAATTCTTTTCTCTCATTATCTTTCTAAATTTCTCAAAAGTAAACTAAACTTCACAAATTATTATATCACGAAAGTAACTGGAATTAGGTGATCAAAAAAATATATATTTATATATATAATTATTTATAGATCCAAATCTCAACATAATTCAACCAAAGTTATATATATTATGAATATAAAAGTTTTAGGATGATATCATGTAAGACCTACTCATACGTACAAGTCTATTATTAAACTAATTTTTGAAGTCAATAACATTGATTTTTGTATTCTTTATGAATACAGAATATATGTGATCACTACTCTTTTATGTTTATCCAATAAAATAAAGTTTAGAGAGTCGAAAAAAAAATCTAGCTAGTTCATGAGCCATGGCGCGCGTTATATATATTTGCTAGATCATGGTTCAAACTCTATATATATATTTAATGAAAATAGTTTTTGTCATTAGGCATGTTAAGCGTAAAAATTAACAAACAAATGTTTGGAAACAAACACGGGAAAGACCAAAAATGTGAAGCTCGTGTTTATATGAGATTTGGTAATTATGAACACCAAAAAAAAAACAAAAAAGATCATATCTATTATCATTAATATTTCGAATTACAAAATTAAAGAAGAAGAAAAAAAAAAACGGCTTACTAAATTAAACTATCATGAAATTAATTTATGTGGCAATAGTATTTAGTGAGCAACTTTAGGTTGGTCTGATTGAAAATATTGGTGAACAAGTATTAACCACTTCATTGACACTTGGTATAAAACTGATGTGGACAAAAAGCAAGCGATAATTAAAGGTAGGTTGATCAACCTCTTAACCTCTCTTAATTAGGTAACAAAATTACCGTCAATAGGCCCCCCGGGGTTTGGCAGGGGCTCGGGACTGGCACCCACTAGCACCTAACCGACTAGTGTTCAATTCCTACTAAGCCTTCCAATTTTTCCGACTTACCCGGTGTATTCTTGGGGTAAGGCTCTACACTCCCAGATTTGTAACCTAGGGTGGGTCCCGAAGGGCCCCTGCCTAGGTGAGTTCCTGGTGCTAAGTAAAAACAAAAATTACAGTCAATAGATTGATTTGCATGTCTAATATAAGTCACGAAATAAATATATATATGTATCACTTTGTATATAGATTACAGTCAATAAATGTATATATGTATCACTTTGTATAAGATTAAAACAAAAACTACTAGCATGAAATAAATATATATATATATATATGCTTGATGAGGGAAAAAAAAAAAACAAAGGTTTGACGGATACATTTAAGTGTTGGTTTATGGGGAAGCCTTTTGGTTCAAGTTCAGGCCTCCTACGTGACCCGACCTGCTTTGTCTTGTGCTACATTCAAGGCAACCAAAACCCCCATAACTATTCCTCTCTCTTTTAGCCCTCCCACCTTCCCACATAGCTAGGACCACAACACACACACACACACATCGAGAGAGAGAGAGAGAGTGAGAGAGTTTTTTCGTGATGCATTTATGATGTTCTTAAGTTGTTCTGGTATAGGTCCAGAATTGCCTAAGTGTAGGACCAGCTCTCTCTCTCTCTCTCTCTCTCTCTCTCCCTCTGTCTGTCAGTCAAGACAATAGTTGTAAGATAGAGAGAGAGAGAGAGAAGGTCCACATAACTGTCCAGCCTGCAAGAGAGTAGAAATGCAGCAACATTAGACTTGAAGGACTTCTACGCCCTACAATCTTCATCAACTCAATATCTTCACTCACTTCGATCTATGTTTTTATATTTTATAACCCTTCAAGATCGACCAAACTAATATATATATATATATAAAGACTACTACTACATTATCTTTTGAGAGAGAGAGAACACCCTAGCTACCAAGGGTGGAATGGCAATCCAAAGGTGGAGTAATCATCTACTGTTGTTGTACCTAGTACTCTTCAGTACTACAATCATCACCATTGGTGCAGCCGTAACCAAACAACAAGAGCTTGATAGAATATCGGTGCTTCCCGGTCAACCTCCGGTGCCATTCTCTCAATTTTCTGGCTATGTCACCGTCAACAAGCAGCACGGCCGAGCTCTCTTCTATTGGTTGACTGAAGCTCATACTAATCCTAACAACCACCCTCTTGTTCTTTGGCTCAATGGAGGTCAGTTTACCCTTCTAATTTCACCCCCTTTTATGAGAATATAGAATATAAAATTGCAGCACTATAACAAAAAAGTAAATGAAAATAAAATTCACTCTGCTAGCTGCATGTTTCTAGATATACTTTTATTCATGTTTTATGTGTAACATACGTGTGTATAAACATTATATGCTAAAATTTTCAACCATACATTTCTACTTTTTAGTCCTGCTGCGTAGGAAAATATATAGTGACTTAATTACAAATTAATATTGGGTTTGATGATTTGATTGTGTTGTAGGTGAAGTACCATTGCATTGATCCAAAATGATGAGCAGAAATCTACTTCTGGCTCTCTCAATAAATGACAATTCTTAATGCTGCTGCTAATTCATCCCCTCCTCTCTTGCAAGTGCCACCCATATTACCCACAACCTCTTCCTCCATACCCACTACTCTCATGTCGATCTTCGCCTTCACGCACTCTTTAGCTACCACCGGCTCACACTAGCAACATCCCACATCCCACACTAAAATGCACCAAGTAATGTCACCATCACCTTTAAGAACAACAGGCTCTTAATTATGATAAATTAAGGTCAACTCTATTTTTTCAAAACATCATTAACTCCATAAAATGATACTAAATAAAGATTCAAGATCCCATGAATATTATTTCAAAACATCATTAACTCCATAAAATGACACTAAATAAAGATTCAAGATCCCATGAATACATTCTTAGTTCCTAAGTACGTGTCAACTACTAAGAGTACTTATACTCGTAAGTAAATTGAAATACCCACTTATAGAGGCCCTCGTGATTTCTCTGTGTCTTCTAGGCTTTTTATTCCTTCTGCTGCTGATCTAATTCCCTGTTTGGCAGAACTCAAAAAAGCCACTTTGGTTTCTTGTCATTATTCTTTTGTCCATCGTCCATATTCATATATGAGTATATATTTTATATACACCTCCTATATGAATCTATAATAGGGGAAAATAAAATTCCAAAGCCATAATGCCCCACAAGAAAGTTGAACAACTTTCCACTGCGACAGTCCCATAGCTTTCATGTATTGGCAATAAAAGATGCTCTCATATGCATCATCCCTCTCTCTCTCTTGACTTGAGCAAGAGTGGTACAAAAAGATGCAAAGAAGTTTGCAGTACCACTTTGTTCGAATTAAGCACGCATACGCATGCTTAGGATAACGTACAGACGATGATGGTGGTGGGTGTCTTCACGTTTTTTTTCTGACAAAAAAACTGAAATGAACAAGGAGTTTATAATTGTTCTTGGGAATTAGAAACAATAGTACTCTGTATAAAGTAGGAGTATATATCAAGATCGGAAGAACATCTTGTGTGTTGATAAATTAAAGCTGAAATGTTTATATATACGGACATGTGAATGCAATTACATTATTTGTGAAAGCACCTTGCTAATTGTCCTTTTGAAAACTTGAATCATTATCATCCACTTTAAAAGATAGAGAATATATCACTAAATCTATAAGATACGGGGCCATGCGAGAAGGGAGAGATAATGCAATCCCATAGAGATAGAGCTGGCACCATAACCACCATTTGGTAAATTTTAAAAAGAGCTGTGTTATCCAAAGTTACCATTCAACTTAAATATACTGTTGCACATTCATCCCTAACAACTAAAACTTCTGAAAAAACAAAATATATATATATATATATATATATATGAATTCATTACAAAAGTCATCATGTAAAAAAACCTGACCGACCGACAATTAATGTACAAGGGTCTTTACATAATTAAGGCGTTTTATGTTTCTAATCTCTGTTTTTTCAATTCCTAGGAAAAGGGTACTTAAAATTATCATGTTTCTTTAAATTGGAGTGCCGCAGGACCAGGTTGTTCATCAGTAGCATATGGAGCATCAGAGGAAATTGGGCCATTCCAAATTAACAGAACCGGTTCTTCTCTATATCTCAACAAGCACTCCTGGAATAAGGGTAACAAACGTCATATATAATCATCTTGCTCCTTTTTTATTTATAAGTGCATCTAACATGTTAATCCTTAAATTTGCAGTTATTTAAAATTCATCTGCTGTCTTTTTAAGCTAAGAAAGAAAAAATATATATATATAATAATAATAATAAAATTCAATCTTGTGCTTACAGAAGCAAACATTCTCTTTCTTGAATCACCTGCCGGTGTAGGTTTTTCATACACAAATGTGAGCTCCGATCTCAAGGATTCCGGGGATGAGAGGACAGGTACATATAAATTGAGCATATGATTTGCTTTAATTATATACGTATACTGTTGTTAATTATATTGTTTGAAAATTTAAATCCTTAAGAGTTCTTCCAATCTTGTGACACAGCTCAGGATGCTCTAGTTTTTCTTATAAGATGGATGTCAAGATTTCCACAATACAAATATAGAGACTTCTACATTTCTGGGGAAAGCTATGCAGGTATACAGCAACAACAACTATTCACTCGAACAAACAATGTGTGAGTTCATAATACATATATGAGTTCTCAACCGATTAATGTTTACTTACATTTATGCTGGTTTTTATACAGGGCATTACGTTCCCCAGTTGGCCAAAAAAATCCATGATTTCAATAAAGCATCTTCTCATCCAATCATCAATCTTAAAGGATTCATGGTAAGTTATTCAATATAATTCAAACATTTTAGATACACATAATTATGAATCTGATATATTTGTTCATGTCTATATACAGGTGGGAAATGCTGTAACAGATAACTACTATGACAGCATAGGGACTGTTACATTTTGGTGGAGCCATTCGATGATATCTGACACAACCTATAAATCAATCCTCAAACACTGCAATTTCACAGCAGAGAGAAGTTCACAAAAATGTGATGATGCTGTAAACTATGCCATGAACCATGAGTTTGGAGACATCGATCAGTACAGTATTTATACGCCGTCTTGCATGGCATTACCTAATAGTACTATTCGGCCTGTAAGGCTCAAGAACAGTCTTATACGTAGAAGAGTTTCCGGATACGACCCCTGTACAGAGAATTATGCAGAGAAGTACTATAATCGACCAGACGTACAGAAGGCAATGCATGCAAATACTACTGGGATCCCATATAGATGGACTGCTTGCAGGTCTTCTTATTGCCTCTCTCATAACAAAGCTTCATTTTTTATAGTACTCTTTATCCTAAATCATTACAAAACAGAAACAACTCTTTTACTTTTAGTTAACTGGGATGAGGTTTCAACATCAGATATGGGAGTACAAACTTTTACCAATACATTTAACAATAACCCATATGTAAAACTACACAATACATATTCCAAAATTGTTATTATAATTACTAAACTTTTACCAATACATTTAACAATAACCCATAGGCTATTTGAGGATTTATATTTTGTTCATAAATTGATTTTACAGTGATGTTCTAATAAAGAATTGGAACGACTCTCAAGTTTCTATGCTACCCACATACAAGGAGCTAATTGCGGCTGGTCTCAGAATCTGGGTGTTTAGGTACAGTTCTGATAATCCCTGGTTTGGCATCAAATTCATATGTTATTTCATTAAACTATCAAATTAGTGCATGTATTATCAACTGTAAAATAGACCATGCAAAGGTAACCCTATTCTGATGATGCTAAAGAAAACCAAGATATAATTGACCTCCATATATAAAACTGAATTTACAAAAACATTAATAGATTGAATACATCACAATTACAATTACGTTTTAGGTATTAGAAATAGTAACTAGTGATTAGCTTAGGGTGGAAGTTCATTTAGCAAAGTTAGTTATTTTCATTTTTATTTACTATTTATTTTTTTATTTTTTTTTGGATTTTGGTGATTACTATTAGTTACTTTCAGAAACTGTCTTCTCATACCCATTAATAATTTACATGTCTTGAACCTCAACTTACCATAAAAACTTTTAATCACTTTGAATCCGCCATGAGTACAATTTTATCAAATGTTAATAATGAACAGAAACAAAAACCAAAGAAATATATATATATATATATATATAAACTGACAAAATTAGCAAAGTAGATGAAGGAAAAATGGAGTGCCTAACAGAGTTGCTTGTAAAAATGCAGTGGGGACACAGACTCTGTAGTTCCAGTGACAGCCACTAGGTTCTCCCTTAACCATCTAAACCTTACAATTAAGACCCGGTGGTATCCGTGGTATTCCGGTGGCCAGGTACACTTGAATTTTACACAAAATAATGGTTCTCTTTCAGAAAGAAGTTAAGAGAAAATCATTCCGACTGCAATTTCTTTTACAGGTAGGAGGCTGGACAGAGGTCTACCATGGACTAACATTTGCTACAGTTAGAGGGGCTGGGCATGAAGTTCCTATGTTTCAGCCCAAGAGAGCTTTTATTCTTTTTCAATCATTCTTGGCCGGCAATGAATTACCAAAATCATAAGAATTTCCATGGAGACAGACAGGAAGCAAATTTTGGGCATATAGATTTAAGCAGTTCAGATGTTGAAGCAATTCAATCAATTAGAATTCCCATAAAAAGTTGCGCGTTAAGTGACTACAACAGGACCTATTCATTCAAATTGGTATTTGTATTATTAAGATTACTCATTTCTATTCATTGTAGAATTCAGATTTTGAGCAGGAAATGAGCTAAGCCAAGCCACTGACTTTTCATGTCATGCTCATCTAGATGATGATTAGTTTTACAATGCAATATATAGAGTATGTCATTCATGAAAATTGGAAAAACATGTCCAAAGACCCAAACATTATCCTTGATTTTAGGGGATTCCCCCCCACCCCAACCCCACCCCCCCCCCCCCCCCCCCCCCCCCCCCCCGGCGCAGGGGGAAATCTCTCTTTTATAGTAGGTGGGGGTTCTCAGTGAATAAGTTACAAGTGCAACAGATACAAGGTATTAAGCGGGAAGGACAAAGATCACAGGTTCCAAATAGCTAACCATGTAAAATTGAGATCCGAATTTCGAAGTCAGTAGAAATGAGCAGCTCTTCCCGGCAAGTATACAAAACTGAAGCTCTGTCACGGATACCTGTGTGGCTGTGTCAGAGAGAAACATCATTGCTTGAATCCTTCGCCAAGGCCTGGTGGCATTCCTAAGCTCTGGGCAAGATCACCCATCCTTTCCTTCATGGCCTGAAAATTTCAGAAGGCCAAAACTTAAAATTCAGTAACAATGATGGAAAAAGAGCTTCATTTCTTTCACAAAAATGCGAGATTCTCACTTGTACACTCTTCTGATGTGCATCCTTGTATGCCTCAGTGATCAAAAGAGAGAGTTTCTGCACAAAAAGAAAAAAATGATAATGGAATGTTACTAACATCACAAAATCATTCTCTTGAAGCATCTGAAACCAGCAATCTTGATAGTCCCACATGCTTAACTATAATTAGCCTATTTGGGGAAGCAACAACACCCAACTCTAAACCGATTGGACAATAAAACATGTTCCAATATAATTTCGTTTATAATATATGTCAATCCAAACTAGGAAAAAACATTGAACTTAACTTTGAAGATTTTAGAAGGATCTGAAATGTGAATTTTCAAATTGACCTTGACCAGCCAAAAGAAAAACTAGTTCAACACTTGGGCAAGGAAAAATTTTCAGAAATTTCCTAGATTTTAGTTATTTTTTCTATTCTTTTCAAATTTACTAAAACTTAGGTTTTCAACCACAAAAATTTCATAAGAAAAAATTTAAAAAATTAAAAAATAAAATGATTTTTGTGAAATCCCACGTCCTTCAATAAAGAAATAAAGACTCAATTTTTGTAACCCTCCATAAAACATCTTCAGTGAGCCCTTCAAACAAAGTTCGCAGATGGATCAAACAAAGTTCGCAGATGGATCTTTTTAGAAAAAGTGAATGAAACTAAGTAGCAGCTGAGATGCCCAAATAATAAGGACTATGACAAACCTATGCAATAGAACAACAAAACTTTTGTGTATAAAGATCTACTATGAAAGACGGTAAAAAATGGTGAAAATCTGGAACACATGTTTCATAATTTATTCTCATGCAAACAATCAACTGTCAGTCAGATTAAGAACATTGTTAGCTCTGATATAAAACAATATATTATCATGCAAGTATCATCTGATATGTTGTATAGGCGGCCCAATCGCTTGCCTGAAGCTTGGCATGCCACCAAAGGTCAGGAAGCTTCCTTTCCAGGATAAGACAGTATCATTTTCTGTTCTTATTCATTTTTGTACAATCATAAAACACTGAATTGATTGTGTTATAAAACGCATACTATTAAGGACTGACATGGCTATGCAAGAGAATCGTAAGACTCTTCCTCTGCAAGATGCACTACAAACGTATTTATTTGAGTAATTAAATAGCCATATTTCAAGTTTTCATCACGCAATCAACATTGTAAAAGAATGAAGGTGAAAATCTAAAATATATATTCCATACTCTATTATCTTGCAAGCATGCAAAACACAACTTCTGGATGGGGAACGTTGTTGACTGTGACAGAAAACAATATATTGTCATGCAAGTACCCCTGCATTCAGTATTGGTGGTGGCATCCTAAAATTTCTTAAATTATAAATTTATAACAGACTTACAAAATTGAGACAATCTGTATGCTTTCATGTGCAAAACCTGTAATATCATTTAAACTTTGTTTGGGAGCACCGAATCGGCGGTTTGGATTTGGAATTGGGAGAAATTTAGTTAAAACTTCAATCTAAATTTCCCCCAATACCAAATCCAAAGCACCAATTCGGTGGTTCCAAACGCAACAATAATGTTATTCAACGCAAGGAATTGAGTAGTAGGGGGTTTTTAATGACACTCGTCAGCACACCCTGTCTTACATATGATGTAGAATGAATTCATTTTTGTGTTTAAGGCACTAAAAACAATTGTATTTGTTTCTCAAAACCAATTCTAAGAAAGCATCAGAGGATTTTAATGTATTACATAAAACACAATGAACTGATTGAATTCCAAAGATACATCTAAACAACCCCATTTTACCTACTACAATACATTTACAAGGTTATAATCACATCATGTCTAATAATTTTGACAGTTAGGAACAATATATAATATTTGTACATGCATTATAATCATTGGCTGAGGGATAAAATCATGATATAAGAATGTAACTGATAATCTAAAGAAAGGTCCTAAGATCATCCAAATTAGCGTACTCACTTCTGGTCCTAACTCCATTGCAGCCTCGGTGATTTCAGTGCGTATAGGTTGCTGGTTCCCAGATAGTGTTACCTGAAGAAAACTGTGGTTAAAATTTTTATGTTCTCCAGAAAAATCAAATATTGATGGTTATGCAAAAACTTATCTGTGTTTTAATAATCTAATTCATTCTCCTAAAACCATTGAGACACAAAAGCGCTCCACTCTTTTGTGAAAAAACAACAAAAGCAGGGTAAGAACTAGACACTCCATAAATCACACCACAGCATGGTAACTGGCATTTGAAATAATTATATAATGTTTCTTAGAGATTGAGCTAATACACCACAGCATGGTGATGACTGATGCTTTCAATTTTTTGATGACTCCATTTCCACAATGATTTCATCCCAAACAATCCTGTGATTCAAAGTGCATAGGGGACAACATAATATGGAACTAACCAATATATCAAGTTCATGGAAGCCAGTTAAAGGCAGGGAGAATGAATATCCATTTCAATGTTGTCAAGAAACGTAGTTTGTGCCTCCCGGAAGTGGAGATGCTATTTGGAAATCTTAAAGAAGTTTTGTGCAAATATCAGGACAACTTCCTGAAAATGCTCCTGGTTTAAATTAATGGGGAGCAAAACTTCATGAGAAAGGTGGGATGTAGCACCTACGCATGTCAAATAAATCAAATTTGAGATAGAATTATTTCGTTCTTTCCCCCAACTTTTCCAAGCCTAATCTAGGGTGATTTATGAAACATAAATTATTTGGTTTTACCATGAGGATTTTAGGCAGTATACATTTTTTACTCGGTTTGTAACGTAAATTAATTCCTTGCTACATATTTCACATATTTTTTGTGGACTGTGTCTCGCAGCTTTTGGACTGCATTTCCAACATCCGGTTGCCATACAGATAACTATTGCCCAGATTTGAGCTAAAACTTAATCTGCCCTTGCCAAAGCTAACTTTAAATGTTATTAAAATTATGCCAAAGAAAATGAGCAAACTGCATACCTTTATTAGCTCACCTTCACAATAACCATCAAATTCCGCTCTGCAAAATAGAACCAAAATGAATAATACCAAAATAAGTTATTCACACACAAAAATTAGAAACAAAAATTTGGATAGTAAGAATATCATAACACAATACAGACGCAGCAAGTTCCTTTTGTACTCGCACAGCCTCAACCTGAACCACCATTTGTGCCTTTTTCACAGTCTCGTATAAATTTTGCATGTTTCCCAGGAATCCTGCCTAAAATCAATTTGGCATGAAAGTAATGTTAGTCTCAATGGAGAAATGCAACTCACACCTGTTTTCAGTTATGAAATTAAGAATACAACAACCTACATATAGAGTTAATTGCAAGTATATAGAATGATTATCAAGAATTGGAGCTCATACTGCACTACTACAGGATTTAGAAGAAAATGAGAATAAAAATGAGTGCAATAGGTAGAATCTAACAGGCAATTATTCTTTTTTCTTGGAGTACTTGCAAGTAGATAAGAAGCAGTATAATATTGGATACAGACACCTAAATTAAAAAAATAAAAATAAAAATAATAAAAACTTAGTTGACCTTTGAAGGTGCATCGTCGCCCTTCTCGTTATTTTCCTTTTTTCCTCCAAATAGAGCACAAATTCGAAGAGATCTACATTTGTGCCCAAGTGTCCGACAACCAGACTGAGATAGAATCCACGTATGGAGTCGATTACCATTTGGACTTAGTTTGTCTGTGTAATAGCAGGAAAAGAGTAAGTTATTACTGGCTCTTTAGACATCTGAGGAATTGATCCAACAATGTAAAACCCAACAAATATTATTATCTACAACTTAGAAAAGAATGGATCCTGCTTTAACCCACGAATCGCAAATCGGATATCCTCTCGGTCCATCCAATTCTGGAATTCAGATGTCATTAGAACAAAATTGGAAAAATCACAGATTTAATAAACTAATATCAAAGTTCTAAGCTCAAAGGGCATTGATACATTTTAAAATGTTATCAACATAAAATTGCCCGAGTGGCATCAGACAAAATGTACTACCATCAAAAGAAGCAAAGTTAAAGGACAAATTTAAAACAAAAATTCATCCTTGATGCTTGTGGCTTTAAATCCAACAGTTAGACTATGTGTTCCTCATACAGAATAATTCCATCAACCAAGTTACAAACAATAAACGTGTTCCTTGTAGCTGCCATCTATTGAGGTCCATGACTTCAGTCATGACAAATTTTATGGCCATCTCTGGTTCGTTGGTTTTCAGGACAAAGATGGATCTGAACCAGCAAAAAATAAAGGTACAAGAGCCAAGACATATCCAAAGGGCAAAAAATTTAGATGCCAATGGGGAAATGCAAGGAGGTCAGTGATCATTGGACGCCACTGATGGATGCCGGCACCACAAAACCAGGATGCAATTGACTGTAGGAGAAAGCCTCAGCTTGTATGACATAAGACAGTGTCTAATTCTTCTAAAACAGCTCTAGCAACCATTGAACGGTGAGAGTAATTTGCTCTGAAAATGTATTGTTGGGCTTTACTTTTTAATGGAAATTATCTGGCCTTTTATGCCCCATGTTAGTTCTATGGAAAGAGATACTTCAGGCCTATTGCAGATATGAACTTGATTCATGTCAAAAGATCATCCAAAAATCACACACAGGCAATGTGTATATATATAGGGATGACATATGAATATATTATTTATAATAACACGCTGGATTAGGTTTTCCGACACGCTGGATTAGGTTTTCCGACAAGTCAGTGTCAACACAACCAATAAAACAAGAAATATTGTAAAAGCAACTCAAGGGAGTCCAATAATAACAGTCCACTGAACTATTCATCTGTATCAAAACACCAAAGTTCCAATCTTCACATACGTAAGTACACTTTTTTCTAGATTCAAAATTTATATATATATATATATCACATGGATTGTCCAACCAAAAATAAAAAAGTGAATTCAAGTAGAAATCAAATTCATCATAAATTAGATATATACACAGAAATAATAAATAGACGGAAGACTTACAGGAGGAGACGGAGGAGAACCTAGGTCTCGTCCCATGCAAGTTTGATAACTGAGCAATCAGGGCACTCGTCGACGCCATGAGTGAGAGAACGTGTGTTTACTATCCAGTTTTATCTTGGCGAGTAGAGTGGCAGCTTATCGGTGTTGAGGGGATAAAATGTTGAGATAAAGATAGAGAAATGGGCCTGTAGGTCCCATTGCAGCTCGGGCCCACCCGTTCTCGGTTTCTCCTTTTCGTTTTTACTATCAAATTGATTGATTATATTTTTAAATATTATTTTTTGAAAATTCAATTATAAGTTTTTAAAATATTGTCTTTTATAATATTTTAAAAACAATTTTCAATTTTAAAAATTTTAAGAATTGATTTTGAATGACAAATCAACCAAAGCTCTGAATTTTTAAGTTTTACAGAGGTGGAAAAAAAAAAAGTAACTGACCAGTGACCGAAAACCAGTATTGTAAAGGGCTTTTCAGATCAACTTTTCACATCAGTAAATCACAAAGATTCATCCCAGTATGGATCTACTAATCTAATGACTGCGCTTTAGGAGACTATTAGTTCCTCAGATAGATATTCACTCATGTAATTGGAAAAAAAAAAAAAAAAGCAAGAAATCAATGAGTCAAAATGGGATGATATAACTTTGATGGGGTTGTCTTTCATGTGTCACATGATTTTTGTGTGAATTGTGTCCGAACGGGAACATGGATCATAAAGTTACATCGTACATGAATTCCATCAAAAAAATTCCTTTGTTTTCTGGAAACTAATAGCCAACTTTAGCTATAAGCCTATTCTCACTTCCAAACAACAGAAGCGAGTATGGTTCTTAATATACAGCCGCATGTACAAGTAGGAATTTGAGAAAAGCAGAATTAAAACTTACTCTTGATCTCTCTGACTCATGTGTCCATGTCACATACCACATCTATGCAAACAATTAATTAATGGCGCAATGGGAAGACAATGAAAAGGGCAGAGGAAGTAGACCCCTCCCAACACTCTCTCTCAGTTGCAAAAGGCCAAACCAACCGCTCTCTCTCTCTCTCTCTCTATATATATATATCCACACATATAAAATATATCCCTATCAATCTGTATTTACAGGAGTAAGTGCTAATATGGATAAGGAGTGGCGACCGACAAATTTGCTGCACGATGAAACCAAACGGCTATTCCTTCACGCTAAATTCTACCGCGGTGGGTGTAAATATGCAGTGAGTACTAACCATTTTCAGACTACATTGGCTTATAATCCTCTGTTTTTAAAATTTTATATATATATATATATATATATATATTAATAATAATCAACCTATTCATCAATGATTTTGAACTATCATTGCAAACCCTGAATATCACAAATTTTACCAGTGGGGTTGATATTATTTTGTGGATATATATAGGTATTGATGAATCTGGTAGGCTCTCAACTTCTGTATAATCCAATAAAGTTTAGGTATCGATTGCAGTTGCTAGGCAGGTGGGCATGGTGCAAAGTGTGTCACACAAGTCCTGAAGTTAGGTATGGATGAAATTAATAAGTCCAAATGGATAGATGATTGAAATTACGGGCATACCACAAATTAACGGATCAAACAAAAGTATGTCTGTAGTAACTACAGGTTACAACTCTTGAGCATATAATCGTCTCTATATTTTTTGCAGTAGTAAAATCGTGTGTATATTTAATCCTTTCAAATTTAGTAATTGTGAAAATCTGGTGCACTAATTCTACTTGGTGGTCGGTGAGGTGGATTTGATTATGAGGATCATAATTTTCTGTGGAAAAATGTTATATTTGTCTGTTGTCTGTTTTTTCTCCCAGATAGCAGTATTACCCAGGAGAATAAATGAATTTGAACAGGAAGATAGAAGGGTATTTATGTAATTAGACAAACATGTCTTTGTATAAGGGTAAAGTGCAATAAACCCCCCTAAATTATCAGTCAATTTCATAAAACCCCCCTGAACTAATTAATACCCCCTCAATTATCTGAAAAGTGCAGTTTTAGGACAAATTCAAAATCTCCGTCGCCGGAAGTCATCAGAAATATAAGATTACAACATTACCCTTCATTTGAACGCCACCGTTTTGGTGTTTTAATTGCTTATGTTTCTGACGTGTCAAAGGTAATCTCAGCTATCAATAACACTAAAAAAAAACACCACCCACCATTTTATCAGTTGAATGCCAAACACCACCTAAGACTACCTCATGTTAGCACCAAACACATCATTACGCCACTAGTACAGATTACACGCTCTCTTTTTCTATGCTCTATCTCTGTACGCTCTCATTATCCTGCAGCCGATGATATCGCTAATGACCAAACCCAACTCCGGTGACTGGCTTCGTCGATCAGCTCACGACTATCACCAGAGACAACCACCGCCGACTTTTGGGACCCAATTTGGAGAATCAAATCAAACTAATCACAAAACCAACCTTAATTAAATCATTGACGGATTAAAGCTCTGGATTTTACTTTTGTAGTTGCTGCTTTTCCTCTCCCTGCAGCTATGGCTACCGAAATTCGACGCCGCCATGATTGCGTTGTCCACAATTGTTGGGTTTGAAGATTTGGGCAAAAAATGCTTTGTTTAGATAATTGTAGGTGATGACGGGTTGGTGTTGTCCGGGTAAAAAGTAACAATGCTTTGTTTTTTAATTGAAGGTGATGATGGGTTGATTTGGGAAAAAAATCTTTGCTTTTCAATTATTTGTTATCTTTTTGGTAGCCTAAAATTGTTGGAGTCTTTTTTTTTTTTTCCTCCAACAATTAATGATTGGGCCATCCTCATCTTCTAATAAGCAAACAAACAATTGACTTCCAGCAAAATGGTTTGTATTGACCATAATATATATATATATATATATATATATATATATATATATATATATTTGTATGCGTACATATATATAAAAATTGTTATAGAATTATTCTGGCATATAATTGAGACTTTGATAACAGAGAGCTTCACCTGCTCTTGGTAAATTGTAGTAATTTCACCTACAAAACGAAAGTTAAGATGTAGAGACTGAGCCCTACGCAAGGAATAGATGGTGATTTGGTGTGGAATGAAACAAATGGAGTGGAAGTTAGGGTTAAGGGTTTCAATTTGGGGATTCAAGGTTGGAGCAGTAATAAGGGCAAAAATGTCATTTTAAAATTATAACATAGGTCACATGCGTGTCCAACCGCCAAAACCGACCGGAATAGTGTCGTTGGGTGTTTTTTTGCAAAAAAAGAGAAAGTTTAAGGGGTTTTCTGTTAAAATAGAAGTTCAAGGGGGTTTCTTGGAAGAGAGAATAAAATTCAGGGGGGTTTTTTGCACTTTACCCCTTTGTATAATAATGCGAAAAGCGTCGCACTCAGAAACCACCATCACAGTCTCAAGCCTAAAAACAAGGTACTAACAACAGCTTCAAAAAACAGCATCCCCCATTTATCTCCTCTTACTTTTTTTCAGCAATTCTCGCTCCTCTCTCTCTCTCTCTCTCTCTCTCTCTCTCTTAAAGTCTTGTCTTTCTCTCTCTACGTATATCTATCTATCCTAACAGCCAAATAGGTAAAGAAACACGCACAAAGAAAAGAGAGGAGGGAACATGGAAACTCCACGCACCTTCCACCATCAGAAACAAAAGAAGAGTCCACACCACCCTACTCTCCTCTCTCTCTCTCTAATGGCCCAACTGGACCAAAATTTATGTACTCGAAGAAATACAAAAAAGAGTGAGAAGAAATATAGAGAGAGAAAGAAGAGATGTCTTCAAATGTCCTCCAACCAAACCGACCTCATAGATACACACACCCATACATACATACTCTCACACACACAATGGAACATTATGTTGCCACAAATACCCTTCTGCAACCCCCCAAAAAATCCCCATCTTCATCACTTTCACTGTCTCAAAAGAACAACGTTTTTTTCCCGATTTATGTGGGCTTTTTGGGCTTTGTCTCGGTCAGAGTTTCACAGAGAAAACAGGAAAGCGAGAACTTTCTTACCTCCTCTCTTCTTTCTTTCTCTCTCTCTCTCTACACTTTCTCCCTTCATTATTTCTTACCCACCTCTCTCTGTCTCTCTCATCGCATGTATTTCTTTCTCTCTCTCCTATATATTCCACATATATCTCTGAGTTTGGTTCAAAGTTTAATATTTTTGGTGTAGTGGGTTCTTTGTATTTGTGATATGGTGTCTAAGAAGATGAAAGGGGTTGCTTTGGATCCATCAGCCTATGGTGTACGCGAGGATGCTAAAACGAGGTTCAAGCATCAGACTCTCATGCAAGACTACCAAGAGTTGGTGAAGGTAATTTTCTTCCTCTATGTTGATGATCTAGGGTTCTCTATGGAAATTGTTTCTTGACTTTGCCTAGATCTGATTGATTTTGCTTATTCTTCCTATATGTTGAAGATCTAGGGTTCGTGATGAAAATTGTTTTTGGGTTTGACGCTTATAGGTGTTAGGTGTTTGATTATGAGTTTCTCATAAGAAATTGCGGTTTTGGGTCCTTCGATGTTTTAAAGCTTTAATGAGTTTGATCTATTCGCTTCTATTCATTACGGGTTTATTATCTGACATATCTTCATATGGGTCTCCGCCTCTCGATAATAAGACCTTCCTGGGTGTTCTTGTTATTGATAGTATTTGCAAGGTTTTATTTTGATCTATTTCTTCAAATTTTGATGGGTTCAATCTGTATTACTCTGATCTCTCTCCATGTGAGTCTCTTGTGAATGTTACCAACCCTGTTTCACATTTTTTTAATTTGTTCCTTTGATCCATATGTTCCATGGTTTTTGGAAACTTTTTTCCTGTCTACGTCCCAAGTTTTTGACCTTTTTTATCTATTTTTTATTTTGGCATTCCTTTAGGAAACTTTCCTTCATTCTGGCATTGTTGATATTCTTGATATTGAAATTTCTCAAGGTTCAATTTTTTCTTTTTGCTTTATTTTTTAATTGAATTCCCTTTTGGATCTTTCTAGGTTAGAAATTTTTTTTTTGCCCTTACATTTTCCCCTCATTCTTATTTTCTGTACTTTAGTTCTTATTAGTCTGTCATGGTTAAGTACATTATTTATGAGCATTATCAGAAAATTCCTTCCACCCTTTGCTCCCTCTCTCTCTCTCTCTCTCTCTCTCTATCTTCTATATTTCTCATCCAATATTTTGTTCTTTTCCCTTTTCTGTCAATATTGTTGTTATTGTCTTCTTGGTCATTTACTCACAATTCGTAACTTGATAAATACATAACTTTTTTTACTAATCAGTAATTACTGAAAAATAGTTTCTTTCTTTCCTTCCTTCCTTTTTTGTGGTTCCTTTTTTGTGGTTAGCTGACATAGCTGTAAATGGATTTATAAGACTGCTCATTCTGCAGGAAGCAGAAGCTGTGAGAAACAAACTGGAGACCTCAAAACAAAGGAAATTAACCCTCTTGGCAGAAGTTCGGTATGGTATTTTACCTTCATGTTTTTTAGGATTTTAAAATCAAACTTTAATAATGTATCAATTTTATCGCCAGCTAAAATGGGTTTTACCTTTATATTTTTGTTGATATGTATGTATTTTTTACAATCAAATCATAATAGAAAATTACAATTTGAATTTTTATTTTTTTAATCTGCATTTGATATACATGTGCATCTGTTCTTTTAATCAAATTTTAATGCAAATTATAACTTGAAATTCTTTTATGTGACCTCCTTTTCTTCTCCATATGTTTGGTAAATTTGCACATGCATCCAAATTATAGTAGGAAAGTTATCAGTTTACATATTTTCATCTTCAGCAAATTAGACAGATATTACAATCAAGTTTCGGGCGTTTTCAAGTATCTGAGTTTGGTTTACTTTTTTCTTTTTCTTTGGATCGCAGATTTTTGCGCCGACGATACAAGTACCTCTTGGAATTTAAGTCTCCCAAACCTCCGAAGGGACGAGAACTGCGCAAAAACACTAAGAAAGAGAGGATTAACAATAGAAAGGAAGCCACTCTGCAAAAGTTAGCTCCAACACTAGACTTGAACGAGAAGGAAAGAACTTTTAGTGGAAAGGAAGCTGCTTTTTGGAACTCAACCCCAATTCTTGACTTAAAGCAGAAGGAAAGGATATATAGTGGAAAGGAACCTTATCTTCAAAATCCCACTCCAATATTTGATTTAAAACAGAATGATTTAAATCAGAAAGGACAGATGTATGGTGGAATCGTAGATGTTTTCCCGAGGCCAACCTTAGCTTTTGATTTGAACCAGAAGGAAAGATTATATAGTGGGAAGGGAGCTACTCTGCAAAACCGAGCTCCAGTTCTCGACTTAAACCAGAAGGAAAGGACTTATAGTGAGAAAGAAGCTGCTGTGCAAAGCCGAGCTCCAATCTTTGATTTAAACCAGATTTCGGTAAACAGTTAGAGAATTTATTGAATTACGAATCCCTAGATGTATTGCTGTTACTTTATTCTAGTTGATGTCTAATTGACTTATTTTTACAGAGAGAGGAGGAGGAGGAGGAGGAATTTCAAGATGGTTGTGAACCATCAAGAGTTGAGGAGCTGAAGAATTGTTTGATCAGAAGCGGAAGTGATGAGCAGCAGCGCAATGATTTGAAATTATCTGTATGTAGGAATGTAGGGAATGGATCCAACAGAGCGGGGAAGAGGAAGATCTCATGGCAAGACCAAGTTGCACTGAGGGTTTAAATATTATACAATTGCAGAATATCATAATCCTGCAAATAGGGGCTTTGCCGGCTTAGGCAAAGGTGAATTCCATTTTCTTTTGCCTTGGTAGTTCAATGTTTTCTTTTCCTTCCTTTCATAAAGAAAAATAGCGCTTTTATATATTGAATATACATGAAATGGTGGAAATTATTGTTGCTGAGGTTTCATATTTGGTGGAAAATATGTGGCTTAGTTTTCATCTATATATTTTTTGGGCTAATGGAAAGAGGAAACAAGGAATTTGGAATGTTGCAATTATTGGAATTAGACTTGGTTTTGCCGAATGATTCCAAGTGTGTGTGTATATATATATATATTTGTTCTTTTCCTTTCCAACTCTCGTGCCAAAGTACCAACCATTTGTACTCCTTGATCCTCTGGACAGATGTCAAAAAAAGAAAAGAAAAAAAAAGGTGGTGGATGGAAATGGGCCTTATGACTTCAAATAAAAGTCATAGTAACTCCTTGTTAGATTAGAATACCCTCCAGTCAATTATATTTAGATTAGAATACCCTCCAGTCAATTATATTTAGAATGGAAAGAAATTTAGTTTAAAATTTTAATTATTCACTTGTAAATGATGCTTCCACTCACTCTCTCTGTGTTATATAACTGCCTAATCAGATCAGTAAGCAAAGTTTGTTCCAGCGATATCAATGAGGACTCCACTCTGTGTGTGTGTGTGTGTGTGTGTGTGTGTTTTATAACTGCTAATCAGAGCAGTAAGCAAAGATTGGCAGTCTACAACACAAAATCAAAATGCAATGGCATTTCAATGAGGGTATTATTGGAATATATACTCAGCTGTCCAGAATTCTCAATCTTAACAGATTTGTTCATTTGAAAATTGGAAGTATTTGAAAAGAATTTGTTTGCCAAAGAAATAATAATAATAATAATTTAAGTTATAGAATCCACATAATGAATTCTTTAAAGATAAGTTCAGATAGTATCATTACACATTATTCAGACACCCCCGAGATGAACAAACATGGGTTCTAAAATGGGGATCCTATTAACGTCTAAGGTGCTGTTTTATAAAACTGAAAATTTTAAGTTTTGAAGTTCCAAACAGAAATTGTAAATTAATTTTTTATTATTATTTAATTTTTAAGTGTTCAACATAATAAGTGAGGCGATTCTCACTTAAAAATTTTACATCTTTACAAGAGGCACTTATTTTTTTTAAGTGATATCAAAATTTGTTGTCAAACGCACTTAACTGATTAAACACTTAGTGTGGCTTGATAGAAATCTTTAACGTTGGTTGTGCTTCATGAACATTTGCACCAACCAACATAAAGGATTTGGGATCTACAAAGACCAGTAAAGATTTAAGTTAAGATACTTTTAAGTATGAAGCAGAATGACGAATTCAGATAAGCTTGTAAAACTAGTTTCAAATAGAGCTTGGCTGATTAGAAACATATGGACTCCTCCATATCTACAAGATTCTTGTCATCTCCATGTTCCTATTCCCTGCGCAAACCGAAAATTCACATAGTTATATTATCCAAACTACCTAGTCTGATATTTGAAAAAAGCGAATGCTTTTGGTGTCCCTTCCTCTTAAACTAAGAGAACTTCCAAATAAAACCAAGAATCCAACTAAATTTCGTCACATTACAAATAAGTTACATGAAAGAAAGCTTACACAACACCGGCACTTATGATGGAAAGCCATTGAAAAGCAATACATTCCGTAGATCACAGAATATATTCATTCTCCATCCTTCAGCATCTACACTAGTCAATATTCACATTAAAAGATGACCAAACTAATCAGTTAGTGCCACAAGCAGCAACTCCAGCAGATGCCTGATGATTTTCAGCTTCCAACCCATCCGCTAATCCAACATCTTCCGTTGTTTCCTTCTCTTCATCTTTGGCAGCAAGTTCTGCACCCTTTGCATTCTGAATAGTCTCTGCCATTTGAGTGCCTGCGTCGGATTCACAATTTTTATTAAGTTCCTGAAGCCGCCCCACATGCTTCTTCCCCTTTCGATGAGTTTCCATCACTTTCTCTGAGTAGGCCCCGATCTGACACATTTCACACCAGAACTTAAATCTCTTCATCTTGAAGTCCCTATTCTTCTGCATTTTTTGCACTGCCTCCCCATTTTTCTTCTTTAAATCATCGACATCATGATGCTGCAAAGGTATCTCACTCTTTATTGTATTTGGCTTCTTCTGCAACAAGGCTTCTCTAGTTTTGTTGAACTGCAGTGATTCCTTTCCCATACTTTTCCCCGTATTCGGATCACCAGTGAGCTTAGTTGGCTTGCTAGTTCTCTTTGGGAATAGCCCGATGGTAAAGTTTTTGCCTGTCCTCTGCGCTATAAGATTAGCCTCCCTCGCCTTGTGTTTTTTCCCCTGGAGGTGTTCATTCAAGCCTTGCTCATTGGTGGCACTAACCTGACACAGTGCACAACTCCATTCCTCTTTAGGTTTCTTCTTTGGACCAACAGTAGGACGCTCGCCTGCAGCTGGTGGTGTTTCAGTTTTCCGCTTTGATCCAGAATAACTCCCATCCGGTTTAGCCTGCAACAGAACACTAAAACAAAGTCTATAACCGGGCACTCATACAACAACTAAAACAAAGTCTAATAACCCTCTGCCATTAGAGTAAAATAACTTTCATTGATATTAGTTGAACTAAATCATTCTATAGGGAAGTGCTATGTTTTAGACATTTGTTGTGTCTTGGATTCTGGTAAACCAAATAAATACCATAACCGCTCTTGCCCGGGGATAAAAGAAATAAGAAAGAAAAGTAAAGTAGAAAAGATTCCTATGTGTAGAAAAGATTCTTCTTAAAGAGTAAAGGAATACAATAGAAACTTATTCAATAATCATTTGAAGTAAATGGCATTTTGTTGTGCATTTCTACCAACAGATAAGAATGGGGGCAATGGCAGCATCTAACTTTACAGCAGAACAATATTTTTCAAAAAAAAAAAAAAAAAACGTATCAAACACTCTCAAAGAAAACATACTTCATTACTCTTCCATTTTGACTATCATCATTTCCTTTCCCTGCTTGATAACTCACGTAGAACGATGCTAACCCTAGGATAATTTAAGGATGAGTGGAACAGAATCTCAAGTTGATCAATCCAATGATGCAAAACAAATTTAAAAGTAATTCATGTCACTTACGGAGTATTATAAAATTTAACTTTAAACTACAGAAATACCATATGAAAAAAAATATTTAATTGAAGAAATGATATATAGTAAAAGATAGTTATGCTATGTTTGGGAGTACCGAATCGGCAGCTTGGATTTGGAAGTGGAGAAAATTTAGTTCGAAGTTTGAACTAAATTTGTTTCAACTCCAAATTCAAATCACCAATTCGGTGCTCCCGAATGCAACATTATAGTTCTTCACTATATAAGGGCACCAACTCAAGCTAAAGATTTCTTGAAGGTGGCATATGCCATCAAGCAACCATGATAGGCAAAAACATTTGTTTCACAGGTGGTATATTAATTATAAAATAAACCAATATGAAAAGGTTTGATAAATTTTCAGTGGTTATTTTTTTCAAGTAAATACCAAATAGAATACGGTAATTTGATAGTGAAACAAACCAGCATGCATTAATGTTCAACAAAAACATTTTTTTAAAAATAAAAAAGTCAATTAAGTTACCAAATTTCAGTTACCAACACTAATATCATTTAAATAAGCAAATGCCACAATCTTTAGACTAATGGGACACAACCTGGAAAAACAACAGAAAATGCATATTGAAGGTCAAATATAGTCAATAAGGAAGGAGCAAACTTTAATTTAAGGAAAACATGAAACAATAAATTAATTAATATAAACAAAGCAAGCTAGAAAGAAAAAATCTCAAGAAGCTCTTTAAACAATTTTTCGTTGATACAGTTAGTCTTTGGAAAAAAGGCAACATTAACCTAACATCCATCATCACCAACAATTAAGTTCTCATAGTGAATTCCGCACCCTATTCTTTCTATTCCCTAACCATGTTTCCTTTCCTTCCTAAATTTGATATTGGGACCTGTACTTACCAGTAGGACTATTGCTAAACTGTTGCTGTAAAATTACACTTTATATGGAGGCCTGAAAATGATAAGATGAACATTGTAGTGTCCTGTATGCCTATTGTGGTAATGGTTTAGAACCTCATAAAATTACCAGAAATAAGTTTAGTCAATCAGTGGATGAAATCTATTTGACAGGTGAAACATGATTATAAATGCAGCATATAAGCCAATTAGAAGATCTAATTCTAATGACAATATTACAAGTCAAATGCTATGCAAGTGCATTAATAAAAAGAATCCCAGTGAATGAGATGATTAGTGAAAGTGAAATTGATTTGAGATGATGAATTATAAATTTAACAATCCCAATAGAGCACACTGCAATTAACTGAGATTTGCCCTGGTTTGACGACGATAAACTATACAGGAACTGCCTCCTTCAAAAGATAAAGCAAGTTATTTATCAAAGGGAGAATAGTAAGGCACTGTTCATTAGGGTTATATTTTAACCTTACAAAATCCAAAGACTAAATAGACAAAATTATCTGTGACAACGAGTAAACTACAAAGAAATGAGTGATCCAAGGAAAATCTCATTCCGTTTGAAATTCGGAAGGAGGAGATCCCTAAAATTCTCTGATTTTGTTCATTCGCAGATACCAAACTGAACCAACACAAGCCACTCATAAAAAATCTTGTTACTTAATTCACCTGTCTTTATCCGCCACCCTCAAAATATGTATTCTGCTAAACAAATGAAATTTGTGGCAGGATGCATAGGGCTCCAAAGCTCTGGAGCAGCTAAACAATTAAGAAAAAGATGATCCACAAATTCTCCCTCATCTTGCACATTCAAAACATATTATGAACTACCAACCCCCCAACTAATCAAATGGTCACCATCAAACAATTATGCTTAGCAATGATAATCTAACAAATAATGCAACCTCAGATGGAGCAAACAAACCTCGAACCTTATTAGCTGGAAAGTGACCGCATATTCTTCTTAATTGCTTCAAGAAGAATTACCTAAGAAAAACTATGAAACCATCCATTCAATCACATCTTCTGTCACCAAAGAACATTAATGTGGTTTTACCTATTAAAGAAATACTATATAAGCCTAGAGCTCCCAGTTCAAAACAAAATAACAACTGTAGGAATTTAGCGACTCCTGTGATCTGCCCAAAGAGCATAATCATCCAACCACATCTCCACATATCCAGCATTTGAGAACAAATCCAAGAACTCCGCCATAAGCAAGTCATTTGAAAACCATCTGTCCTTCCAGAACCTCACTACCGCTTTGACTTTCATGCCCTTGAAGGGATAAGCTTGACAATCTCCATTGCTTTTCCAAAGCTAACTCTACCAACCACTCACCTCAATGGACCAATCCCCATCATCACATGGTCAAAGTAAAGTTATGATACATTATAATCATATTATTCTTATATTCGCATGTTTCATTGCTTTTAAAAAATAAATAAATATACTATGTGAATATAAATTTATAGGTAAATTACATTGACACCCACTGAGATTTGCCCTTATTATACGTAGATGACAAGTTTGGATAAACCTACACTAACACCCCCTGTCAATTTGACAGTCATAATGCCGTTTAAAAAAGTCGGTGAAATGTCTAGCTTACCCCTAATTTTTCAATTCATTTTTTATAAAAAAAATATCAGACTTCATAAATTACTCAAATGCCCAAACCAATTAACTACCCAACTCCAGCCATCCAACTCCCTCTTCAACCCCTGAACCCCACCCCTCTTCTTATACAACAATGGCAACGAGTACCCTCCAAGGACCCATCACTGGTAAGCAAATTAATAATGACGACGACCACCATTTCCATGATTGTGAATCAATGTTGCACTCTCGGCACCATGATTTTTACAGTGTGCTCGTGGCCGCTACTAAGCGTGCCGAGGAGAGGCAGCGAATTTAGTTGCAGCGGTACAAGGATGGGTTGATGGCCAAGAATAGGCTGCTGATGCTGACAGAGGAGAGCGGGTATAGGGATTTATTTGGGTGCCTAACACCCATGCCCAAGATGCACCTAAAGGGCAGCAAAAACAGGCAAGGACTTGTAATGCTGATAATTTTGGTACCCAGTGAGTTCCAAACATAGATTGCAAAATGATTGTTGCAATATTGAATATGGTTCAGTCAATTGGAAATTTATGGGATATATATATATAAATAGATGTATGTATATTATGAATACTTTGGGATTTCATGGTTCCAATTTGGTGTTGTAATGAAATTGAGGTTCAATCAAAGTGGGGGTTTATCTAATTTTGAGTTTTCATTTCGTGACAATGATGAAGTTTGGCATGGAAATCTCATCAATGGGTAAAGTCTGGTCATAGCCAATTTGCGTAATAGATATCACTCTTCATGGTTGAGGAACAATGGGAATTTGCAAAACTAGATTTTCTACTCATGTTGGTGGTCTACATGTTAGGCCATTAGACTTGAATAGGTAAGAATATGATCTTTAGGGCGAATTTGGGGCACGACATGCTGAAGCTCTACACCTTCTTGCTTTGAATAGTTTACTAGAATATTGTGATTCGGTTATGGATTTTACTTAGTTACATCGGTTTCCTTCTTTACTGTGCTCATGTTAGATTTGAATATTTTTAAAATTGGAATTGGCAGGTTTGCATAATTAGATTTGATTAAATTGTAATTTTTTAAGTTTTTGCAATTGACTTTCAATTTTTAAATGCATAATTACATATTTTTAGAACTATTTCAATTTGCAAATGTATAATATTTAATTACGTATTTTTCAATTTGTGTGATTACATATTAATTGTCTTATTATGTATGTAAACATATCATTTGTAACTTTCATTGATTTTAAAGTTTAAAAATCTTAAATTTTTATTTAGTATGTAAATTTATATATAAAATGTCTGATAATATATTTAATACAGAAATATACAAAATATTATTGGTCTATTTACAATTGTATGGCACAACCATAGTACAATAATAAAGGTTATTTTGGTACATTAAAAATAGTTAGAATGGATAAATTGGTAACTTAACGATTCAAAAATGTCACTTCACAAGTCGAAGGCATGCAGGTCATTTTACTGTGTCATAACACTGACAGGCTATCCAGTAGACAGCTGGGGTTGTTTCAGCAAACCTTAGAGGGTTCGCGGCCACTGAGCGCTGCAAGTTCTATCTATGTGTAATAAAGGCAAACCTCATGAGGAGTCGGTATAATTTACCCAAATTTATAGTTCATTATTTTTATATCCAGACGCTTCTTTTCTTTAGATTTTTATAATCCAATAACACTAGCAAATGTTGTTCAACAAGTTGGCTCTACCAACCAGGAAAGAAAAAAAAAATTGTACATGAGCATCTATACAGTTTATACGTCCATCACTATCACAATACAAAAAAAAAAAAAAAAAGAAGATGAAATAACACCAAGCAAACAAAAAGGCAAGTAAAATCTTTTTCTCATCTTATTAATTTAGTTATTTTTTATTGGGGTGGAGTGGGCAAGTAGCTCACAGTTTAAGCTGGAAGACTTGCGCTTAACTTATGCTTTAATACTTGAAAGTATTTAAGCTTCAAATCATGAATCATAAAATTTAGAAGATAATCAAAGGAATAAAGTAAAAAAGGAAGGATACCTAAGTTTCAAATATTTTTTGGCTAAGATCCAATTTATCTTGTAGGACTCAACATAAAAATCACGGGATTTCAACAAGTATGATCCTCAAAAACATTTTTGTTGAAATATGTGATTTACAGTTAAAATCCTATGAATCGAAACCCAAACTATTTGAATCATGGTTCAACATCCTTTCTATACTAAAATCTTTGATTTTCTTTCAAAATTTACCATTCAAAATTTCAATCTTAAACACTATTAAATTATGCAGTTTAACTGGGTGTGTAAATTGATTAACTAGAATTAGGAAAATTTAACCATCTTTGACTTTTATTTTGGTGGAATTTCTTAATCAAAATAAGAGGAAGATGAATTATATAAAAATTCATGCAAAACTCCAAAGTCAAAATTGAAAGTATAAAGTTGTTATAACAAGAAGTATATGTCCCAAATTACTTAGAATTAAAAATGCTATAAAAATGATAAATGCTAGAGTTGGCACATTATAGAGCATTTGAGGTAAAATGTAGTTTGAAACCACAAGAAGTAGTAGTGTTTTATCAACTATAAGAATAAATGAACAAGCAGATGACATTACCATGATTTTTGGGATGAACCCAACTATTTAAAATACAGTCTTCATCCAGAAGTTGTTATCATAACAAAATATTATTATTTATTTAATTTAGAAATTACCAGTTATTCATCCATACAAAGTTAATAATAAAAATAATAATACTATAATAACAACAACATTTGAGGTTACTCTAACTTGCAATGAAATTGACTAAGGCAGCAAATCATAAACATGTTATCCATCTTAAATAATTCATCTCTTTTTTCTACTTTCCCAAATAGTTTCGAATTATATTTACAATTTTCTGCAATCCATGACTAAATACACGATTCCCGCAATTTCATTAATCCCATTTAGCTATAGCTATTACCACTAAATCAAAAGTATTGAAAATCTTTTTTTTTTTTGATAAGTATAAGTATTGAAAATCTTAACCATCTATGAACCAAATACACAAGGTACCAAGCATTACTGCAAAAATATCTTCAGTTTTTTCTTATGTCCCTCAAATCATATGACCGTAAATTTATCGACCACTTTATCTGGCAGGCACTACAAAATCAATAACCATTACTCTTTCCGGTTTGGATATCAGTAGCTGAAACCAAAAGTGCTTTGGGTTTCAATATATCCTTTCAGCCCAAGGCTTGGTTTGAATTCCAAGCTTAGGCAGGTTGGGTGTTGGATCTGCTTCACAATAATAGTGTGAAGTCTAGAATGCGATGGGCAGGCTTTTCTATAGGATGACCCAATTGCCTGATTTTTTTTTTTTTTTCCTAAATTGATTTTTTTTCCCCTGCCAGCAAACACACATTAGTTGGATACTCCATGGTCCAATGAAACAAGACGATTTTATGGTCACCAGTTGAAATTAACTAATTACTACAAGGCCAAAACAAACCAACTTCATAAAATTCAAACTGAAATTCCACCTTCGTCAAAAATCAGAAGTTGGATAAAGCATATAAATGAAAAATCTACCTGAACAAAGTAAAAATCAAGAAGATATTGAGTGACAATGGTCTGCTACTCAAATCCCTTAAAATCTCAGCCATTTGGATGCTTTACTTTAAGATCCGAGCCCAAATCATATGAGTTATTATATCATTCAAGACCTGCCAAGGTTTTAGAAGGCTGTAACATCCTACACAACACCATAGTGCCAACCATGCTTATGATGCCAGGGCCAACAATTTAATACCTCCCACGAAAGGTCCCACCCCTCAACGGTACGAGAATATTTGCAAGAATAGATGCAAACCACTCGAAAGTCCAAGCTCTCTTATTTGTAAAGAAGGCTGAAACGAATTCCCACTGAATGGAGCAAATGAGGTCCAGGACCTCATCCAACTTCGAGCACTCAGGGTTCCTTTGAAGATGAAGATTTCAAGTAATTCCACCTATTCATAAATCCATGCAATAAACCGAAAATTCAAAGAAGAATTTAATAAAATCAAACAATTCAAGAAAAGCAAGTAACTACTCCCATCAAATCATTAAAATAAACCTAACTGAAGCTTTCAACCAGTCACGAATTCACCAGAAGGTTGAAAAAGATGCTCGAATTGCATAACAAACTTTCAAAGTTATTAATGAGTTTCCCTAGGCATGAGATTAGAATCCTGCTAATTTCCCGCGCATCATACCTACTAGACCAAACCTTGTGCCATGGACAAGACTGATTCCCAAGGAATTTCTACAGCCATTAGACTCTATTCTGTATATACAATTAAATCCAGAACACCATAAAGTTTGCTGGAGAAAAACTTACTCCATTACACCAAAGGACCATTTGTGACAGGTTCTGAACTTTCAACTCAGTATAGACCTATTTTAAACTCCTTGTGGTCATACATGAACCCTTTTTTACTAGTTAGCTCTTCCTAGGGGATATAAAGAAATGTCCTCTGTTAAATCTCTCTCCACTCCTATCCAATGAAAATCATAATGGCACATTCCATGTTGTGGCGGGCATTAAGATCAAGGATAAGAAATATATATATGACTATTGGCTATAGAAAACTTGAGGATCATGCGTAGTTCCATCTACACAATAAGAAGGCCCGAAAATTTTGGATGTTTTTGAGATGCATGATAATGGAGAATCTGAGCTAACAAAGAGAGCCTAGTATAGCCTACCCTATTTAATATTAGTTCAGACATGAAAATGCATGGATCAAAAACCAGATATTTTCCTAACCATAAAGTGATGTCAAGTATCTTTTTCCCAACGTATCTGCAAGATTAACATAAAAAATTAAAAGATAATTGATACATTATCCTAAAAAGGAAATTAATATAGACCATAAATTGGAGAAGAATATAATAGTATCCAGTAGCTTTCTCCATCAAATAGACAACTACTCTTACATAACATTCTCATATATCCCAAATCTATCAAGTAACTCAACCATAACGAAAGCAAAATCTTTAAAAAGAAAATAACAGTATCTAAAAAAATACAGAAATTACATCAAAGTTGCAGCCACCAAAGAAATAGCTTTTTAATAGAAGGCAGTGGTTTTAGTGAGAAATTTCTAAATATAAAAATTTCTTCAAAACTACAACCCATCAAACAAAAGAAATACTTGTTATGCATATATAGAGAGATAAGAATGAGTAAGAAAGTAACAAACACTGACCAGGAAAATTATTTTATCTTTGCTAACCTCCGAAAGAGGTTTGATCTCAGAGATCTTAGGTTCCATCTTGCGTTGAAAAGGCATCTCAGAAATCTTAGGTTCCACCTTGCGTTGAAAGGGTATGATCTCAGAAGTCTTAGGTTCCACTATCTCAGAAATCTTAGGTTCCACCTTGCGATGGAAGGGCACCGTCTCGAGTCCTCCAATCTCTCTGCGAGTTGAATAGCTCAATCTTTCCTCAAGCGACAATGCCAATCTTTCTTCAAGTAATCTACCATCAGATTGATGCAAAACTGAAAGTCTTGGCTCGAACCACGTGGACGAAGAAGCCCCCGGTGCGGGAGGGAGAAACGATATCCCATCTGCTCTTCGCAATGCCATCTCCCTTTCCATCAACATTTCCCTTCTCACCTCTGCTTCTAATAAACGCTTCCTACTGATCTCCTCTGCAATAATTTCTTCTCTAATTCGTTCTTTCTCTATCTCCCTTAGAATTGCTTCACGAACATCATTTCTCCGGTAACCAGCTGAAACGGAAGTTATCGGTGGGAAATTAAAAAAATAAAAAAAAAATGGATGTAAACGAAGGAATTGAAAGTCAACACAAACTCTGTTTGATTCACTAACATGCAGGAAATGAAATGAAAAATGTACACTTTTCAAATCCTATATAAACTCTACAGGACCTAGTGTAATCTCTTAACTTGGACAAGATCTATTCTTTTAAAAAAATTATATACGCATAAACACATCCGATCGAAAATTTTCACCAATTCATCAATGTCCAAAGATAATTGAACAATCTAAGACTTGTACCGACCTCGGAGTGCTTGCTCTGTGAAGAAACTCATGCTTGAAGAAGAATGGAAGTACGTCGACCCTTGGTCGTCGATGGCTTGAAACTTGAATTCCATAGTTATATGATATGAAATATATATAGAATGTAATAGATATATGGAGGGGAAATTGTGGATTGCTGATGTTAGATATACAGATTTAGGGTTTTGAAGTGACGAAGGCTACTTAAAAAGAGGAAAAGTGGCAGATGTTTTTATTTTGAGCGTTATTGTAAATAGTGCCAGTGTCGTGTATTTACTCCAATTACTAGGTTTGAATCATTTAAACATTCATGAGCTAAAAATATGTACTCCCTGCACGTCCACACTCACAGGTACCGGTGTAGAGTGTGGACGTGTATGGGACGGAGAAAATATATAGCAATAAGTAGTAATAGGTTTTTTTTTCATAAAAATATTTTTTTACAATTTTTTAATAAAATAATATTTCTTTTTTAATTTTTTATTTAAATTATAAATCACTAAATCTTTTACTGTATCTTTACCCATATAAAACATGTGCAAATCTATTAGAAAATTGATATACAATTTTCTTTTTTTGTTTTAAAGTTCTTAAAAGTTTAGTTAATTAATTAATATTATATAATACGTAGTAATTAATTACATTAAACTTTAATTTCATTTTTAATATATATAAATTGTAAATTTTATTTAAAATAATAAAATATTATCATTTCCTTTATTCAAATAATTTAAATAAATTTCTATGATTTTTAAAAAAATAAACTAATTATTGTTAAAATTTATTATATAAAATGAAAACTAGTGTTTAATAATAGAAAAATCTTAAACATATTTAAAAATAAAAATATATATCAATTTTAAAATGGATAAAGAATATTCCAAAAATAATAATAGGACTCTGAATTTGATTTTGTTGCATCAGATAAGAGGGAATCTTATATGTGTACACGTGTGTTATTAAGTTTATGTATTATTGTGACCAACATGCCAGTGGCCTAGCGGTACTAAGTCACTACTTCTCAAAGAGAGGTTAGGAGTTCAAGTCTCAGTGGAGACATATGTATGTGAGTACCAATTAGGAAAAAAAAAAGTTTCAAAAAATTCAAGTACCCTTTCTCTTTCAAAAAAGAATGTCTCTTTTTAAAAGATTTGTGAGTCAAATTTTTCCAAAAAATACATTTATTTGGGAACAGGAGAGTACATTTAACCAATTAAAATAGGGTTTTGCTAACCACAATCTCTCATCGTATTAGAACATCTCCAGCGGTCTGTTAAAATACTCTTTTGTGTAAAATATACATTGCTATCTATGATGTTTAAATTTTTTGCAGCAGTCCGTTAAGATACATTGCCACATCACCAATGTGTAAAAGAATTGTGTATTTTACACAACCCTTTTACACTTCCGGATCAACATATTTCCTTTCTCATTCCTCTTTCTCATTCCATTAAAGAATCAACCATATATTAAGTAGGTTTATAAAAGTTATGCGGGGTCCTGGCATGACACATGATTGATTGTTATTGACAGATATATTTTTATACAAAAGTATAAAACAACCGTTGGAGCTAAAATTAAATAATCCAAATTTTTTGTGTAAATCCATCATTACACATCAGATTTACATTAAAAATATATATATACACAACGGTTGGAGATGTTCTTAGTCTATGAATCCGTTATCATTTATCACTTTTAAGTTACTTATTTGGATGTAAAAACTTATCATCATAATAACTTAATGTACTTTTTATCCTACTGGCAAGTCACATGGTTTATTGGCCACGTGTTTGTTTGCACTTCGTTAAAAAAAATAATAATAATAAAAAAAATAAAACGAGAAAAAAAATTTCTCTTATATTTTGGGATTTTTCTCCTTTAAAAATTCTCATTTAATAAATGTCTAATTTCATTTGACGCTTCTGAACACAATTTATCATTGTTGTGATTTAGTGTATCCATACATAATCTGTTACTTATAGTGTTTCCGTAATACCCCTAGATTTTAAAGGAATTATTTAATTAAATAAATTGTCTTTAAATTGATTTAATGGATTTACTGGTTTAAATTAATTTATTTGTTTATTTGATTTATTGGAATGATGATTGTGTGTATATAGGTGCTTGATTGTTGATTGATTTGTTGATGTGTTAACCTTGGTTGTATGGAATGATTTTGTTATTGTGATCCTTCTTTTATGTACGTGATGTGTGTAATTAGTTGTTTAACTATTTATTTATTTTATTAAATGGATTAGACTTGGAAATGGATTAAAGGTTTTGGTAATGAGCTGTTATGGGAAGCCTTGGAGGATTTATAAGGCTTAAAGGCCCATGGATTTAAGCATATATATATATATATATATTATGTATAATAAATGGATTGGATTATATAAGTATATAAATGTATATATATTTATATAGGGGGATTATATATATATAGTAATTATATATATCTATATGTATGACGTAAATACATATAGATATATAGTAAGTATATATACATCATATATATATTTATTTATTTATTTTGGAGGATTATATATACATAAATTACATATATATATATATATATATATATGCTTATATGTATATTACGTATATACATATGGGGAATTATCAGATTAAGGTTAGAAGGTTAGGTGTGTGTGTGTGTGTGTGTGTGTGTACCTATTATGTGACCCTAAAGAAAGGTTATTACGTGAGAAGAAAGGAGGCAAAAATTAGGTTTGCTGAGAGAGAGAAAAACCGAGAGGGAAGGCTGAACCAGAGGGAAGGTCGGACCAAGGAAGGAAACAACGGCGACACAGAGAGAAGCTAGAGTTGCAAATCAAAATTGAGAAGCTTGGTGTGCGTCAGTTTCGTTTTGAAACTTCAGGCAAGTTCTTCTCTATCTCTCCTCTTAGAACCCATGAGTTCTACACTTTGGGTATCATAATTTAGACTTTAATTGCATGCAAATCACCTAAACATAGGGTTAAAAGTATGGAAGAAAACTAGTTATATGTGTATATATATATTGTTTATATATATTATGTTTAGATGAATTGATTGGAATGAAATCATGTTATATCATGTTTAAAATGCGTATTTAGATGTTAAATCATATATTAGATCATCTTATAATTAATTAGAATTGTTCTTACACGAATCGGAGGCGAAACAGACCAGTTACAGAGGCCGGAAGCTACTGTCGCGAAAAGGAAGACGACCCAGGCTCAACCGAGCCGACTCAGTTGGCAACCGAGCCAACTCGGTTGGGCAGAGAGCCGACTTAGTTGGTAACTCAGCTGTAACTGAGCCGACTCGGTTGGCAATTGAGCCGGTTCAGTTGTCAACCCAGCCGACTTAGTTGGTAACTAAGCCGACTCGGTTGCCCTGCTACTTGGTTTCGAGTTTTGGTTGTCCAGTATTGATCCACGGGTGTCTTAATGAAGTTTGAGGGTTTTTATGGACCTAATTAAATACTGGAATGCGTATAAATATTAAGAACGCTAAATGGATTAATAAAGGAATGCGTAAATTAATTCATAAATTAATTTAAAGGAAAGATTGAATGCTTATATGACTATTGATTTTCGAAGCATGTTTAAACAATTTATTAAATGGTTCTATGATATTTATCATATGTTGACATGTTATAATTAGGATGGAAAGTTTAGAGGATTATTTTATGTCTTTTTGTGTATTTTGTATTGTACCTACGTTGCTTATTGTATGCTTTATTGTGCTTGCTTATGGGATATGGTTCATTTGGAGGCATGGATTATTTACCAAGGTATGAGTATAACTGTTATTTAATTTCTATGGAGAAAACATACTTCAGGAGGCAAATATAAATAAATTGTCATTAACTAAGTATGGACAAGAACATACTATTGGAGGCATGGGTTGTTTGCCAGGATATAATTGGAATGTCAATTTGTTAACTATAGAAAAATATTATACTTGTGGAGGCATGGGTAAGTTGCCAAAGCATGAATAAAATGTTATATAAATTAGATGAATAAATAAACATCTATGGTTATGGTTATGTAAATATGAGGAAATAAAATGCTCCTAGGATTGAGTATAGTATTATTAATGGTTAATTAACCATTTGGATTAACTTTGGAAAGAGAAGTTCCATGTAATGAGAACAGTTTGTTAGGGATGGTCATGTGTATATATATATATATTTATTAATCCACAGTTTGGAATTATGGAGGTATTAATTAATATTGGTGATGTTATGTATTATTATTATGGGGTAATTACACTTACCTTCTCTGTAGTTAGGGGTAATTACAGACGATACCCCTTACGTTTAAAAAATTACACCATCCTCCCTCAAGGTTTGCTCCTTCGTAACACTTAGTCCCCTCCGGTGAAAGTCAATGCCGATCAATGGCCATTTTTGATGACATCAGCCATTTTTAAGTATGAAGTACCACATTTGTCCTAAACAAATTACAAAAGACATTTTCATTTTTATTTTTTACTTAAAATTACTTATATACCCCAATTTTATATGCCCTCCACTACCACCCACCTCAACTAGCCCTAGATTCAGACACTCAACCATAATAAACAGATCGAGACCCAATTTCGTTGCCGGCAAGTTTGCCATCGCATGAAAATCAGCATAGCCATCGTATGGATGAGATAAATAGTTAGCTCAATTTCTATCGCCGACAAGCTTGTCGACCGCACAGCCACCGTGGATGGAGCTCATTCGCCGGCACCGTAATCCGATCAGTCTGCATCGATGGCGGCGTTACTGATTTTGCAGGGCCGGCGGATGCAGCTCATACACACACATATATATATGTATGTTGATCTGCGGTTTGTTACGGCTTCTTCTTCCTATATGCCTTCTTGGTTTGAGTTCTTATGGATCTGGTCTATGACCCATTTCTTTTTCAGCCGACAACAAGAAATTGCAAATCTCGTATTCGCCAATCGACAAGAACTCGGCGACGGCAATGAATAAGATAGCCGTTGCGGAGGTCCTCATCGCCGCATCAACAACCACCATGGATGGTACTCCATCCTTCAGGTCGATTGCCGCTCCGACGAGGTCGATCTCACCAAGAGGTAGTACCGCCTGCTCGCACTTATCCTCCACCCCGACAAGAACAAGTTCACCTTCGTCGACTCCACCTTCAAGCTCGTCGCCGATTCATGGGCTGTCCTCTTCGATCGACGATAAAATTACCTTCAAGCTCGACGCCATTCTCTAATGTCGGAACACTTGCAAGCCTCCGTTACCTGCCAGAAATGTCGTTGCTTTTATTCCATGGCATCATTGGAGGTAAGTAATTGTGTTATGGCGGTGGTACTGGCTATGGCCGTCGTAATATCGG